ATACATGCCCTCATTTTGATGATAGGATGGGTACATGCAATGAACCTAAATTGTTACTGTGACTTTAAACATGCCTTCCACGGCATTGATATTTAGCGCATGTTTTGAGAATCTACCACGTGATAGGCACAAAAGTGAAGTGGAAAAATCAGACACGGGCTTTGTGCTCCTGGAGCTCACCATCTAGGTGAGGGGCAGTCCCTTGGACAAGTGATTACAACCGTGTGTGTTTGAGCACACAGGGGAGAGAGGACTGCTCTGGGGGCAGAGGGCAGGAAGGACTAACCTGGCCGGCGAGTCAGGGACGGAGGAGACTGGGGCTCTGGCTGTGGCAGGCAGAATTCTGAGACGCCTCCCAGGATCCTTGTCCTTGTGTAATCCTTCCTGCCTTGGCCCCTCCCACCCACATGCGTGGACAGGACTTGTGACTTGCTTCTGAACCACAGAATGTGGCAAAGTTGGAGGGATTTTGCAGAGGTAATTAAGATCCCTAACCAGCTGACTTTCATCAAGAGAGAGAGATCATCCTGGGTGGGCCTGACCTAATCAGACAGGCCTTTCATTTATTTATTTTTAATCCTCACCCGAAGATATGTTTATTGACTTAGAGACTGAGAGAGAGAGAGAGAGAGAAACATTGACTGTTTGCCTTCTGCACATGCTGCGACAGGGGATTGAACTCACAACCCTTCAGTATATGGGACAATGCTCCAGCCACATGAGGCTCCCAGCCAGGTCATCAGACACATCTTTTAAATGAGGGTCTGAAAGTCAAGGATTCTCTGAAATAGAAGCTCTGTCTCCATTTCTGGCCTTGAAAGGGCAAGCATCATGAATTCTACAGCTACAAGGAAATGAATTCCGCCAACAACGAACATGAGGGAGCGGAGAAGCAGGTCCTTCCCCATCCGGCCCCCAGAGGAGAGAGCAGCCGGGCCGACACCTGGATCTCAGCCCCGCGGGGCCCTGAGCAGAGGCCCGGGCTGAGCCACGCCCAGACTCCTGACCTGGGACAACTGGGAGGCAGTAAATGTGTATTATTTTAAGCAGGAAGCTTGTGGTCATTGGTCACCAGGCAAACGATTGCCAGACTGGCAGGTTGGACAGGACTATCTTCCTGGAGAAGGAAGACGTCCAGCGCTGAGCCTCTCAGTTAGCACTGCTGACCGGCCGGACCCGTGTTGAGCTTTCCGTGTCCTCCCTGTGAAATCCGGGCCAACCTTATGTATAAAAAAGGGTCTCCCTGCCCGTCTCCTGAGGATTTCCTGTCTGGCACTCCAAGTAATTATCTACTTGCTGTGAGCACTGAAGGCATAGGAAGCAGTGTACGCCTTCCCCCACGATTATAAAGGTACCTCACTTTATGCAAATAATGTGATATTGACAAACGATAAAATGACCACTTTCAGGGAGGACTCCATTTTCCTAGCTTTCAGTTCATTTCCCCAGCTCTCAAGGGTCTGCAGAGCCGCTGTGCTGTGCTAGAACTACGCGTGATGAAAGACCGAAGGAAAACTGAGACGCGTGTCTAGCCTTTGAGGAGCTGGGGAGGGAAGCTTCACTCACGCAGCAGGAAAAGTTAGAGAACAGCGGAACGCTGGACTCCCAGCGCTGGGCTGGGGAGGGACCCTCTGGGCTGGGGAGGGAACCGCCGAGCGCCGAGGAGCAGGGAGAAGGATGAGTTTGACTTCACGGGCTCCTCCCCCCAGAAAGCAAGGGAGTGTTCCTCGCTCTCAGCAGCACGGACACACGCAGCAGACGCTCGTGATCTCTCCCCCACTTATTCATAAATCTTGCTTATTCAGGATTCTGGAACGATTTCAAAGTCACAGAGCTGAAACTTTGAGTCATCCAACCAATGTCTCAACAGAAGCGATTCAACAAATAATGTCCACCGAACACCTGCTACTTTGAGGGCTGTGCTGGCAAGTGAGGGCGTCTGTGTCACCTGTTTCAACCCGGAAATCACAGGAAACCCCCTGCAAGTGGCTCCAACAATACAAAGAGCTATTCTCTCAGCAGACAAGAAATCCCGAGGTCGGTCCGCTCCAACGCTGGTTTCTGTCGGAGCTCACCGACGTAATTCGAGATGCAGGTTCAATCCGGCTTTCCATTCTCTTTAAGACAATGGCTTGTTCTTAGCCGGCTCTCCTCATGGCACAGGACAGCTGCCGCTGTCCCGGACACCTCTTCACAGTTCTTCACAAGCACTGTTTCTTCCTGTCTGATTTTTTATCAGTAAGGAAAAAATAGGTATCTTTCCCAGAAATCCTCGGCTGACATCCCCTAATGTTTATTAACCAGAATTAGATCTCACATTCGCGCCTAAGCCAATCAGAACCGCACAACCCGGGGCAAGGTTGGCCTCAGGGGAGTGGGGACTCCGACAGAGTGGGGGCTCTCCCGAGAGGAGGGTGGGGAAGGAAGGGCACCCGCAAAGGCTGTCTACTGGCAGTGTCCTCGAGTGTTGTGATCAAAGACAGCCGCAGTGGCCGTCTGCACTGGGGGACAGAAACAACCTGACGGAGGGTGTACAGTTACACACTGTCGCTAACACCGTGACCGGAGAGGACTGTGCGCTGTGAGAGAGAGAGCAGGGTGTCACAGTGAGGTCGCAGCTCAGGAAAGGCCATTCAGAGGCAGGGACAGGTGAGTGGGACCCAGCCAGGCACAGGGCTAGGGAAGAGCACCCTGGGCGGAGGGAGCATGAAAGGAGACCGGGCGGCCGGAGCGCCGGGAAGGAGGCACTATGGCGAGGAATGAATGAGCAGCACTCAGGGCCCTTCTCGTGACGCTGGGGGGACCGTATCCTGAGAGCAATGCAAAGGCACAGAGGGGTTTTTTGTTTTCGATTGCTTTTTAAGATTTTATTTACTTTTCGAGAGAGGGGAAGGGAAGGAGAAAGAGAGGGAGAAAAATATCACTGTGTGGTTGCTTCTTGCACGCCCCCCACTGGGGACCCATCCTGCAACCCAGGCATGTGCCCTGTCTGGGGATTGAACCAGTGACCCCGCTGGTTCTCAAGCCAGCACTCAATCCACTGAACCGCACCAGCCAGGGCAGCACTGAAGGTTTTACAACAGGGGCATGATGTGATCTGACTTGTGTCTTTAGAAGTCTGGTTGCTGTGTGAAGAACAGATGGGAAGGCAAGACACTAGGAGACTGTACGTCCATCTGATGGCTTGGCGACAGCAGGCATGGAGGGCAAGGGGACAGAACCGAGTGGGAGTGGCTCGGTGGCACTCTGAGGGATGCATGGGCAGGCAGCCCCAGGACTGCCTCCCGAGGGGCACAGCCTGTTCTAAGATGCACAGGCACACTCGGAACTCCACTTAGGTGCCACACGGGAGTTCAGAAGCTGAGGCCACAGGTGTGGGGCTTGAGGGGGGACCTGATTCCAGGGTGACTTGTGAAGGAAGGAGATATTTGCACAGGACACCGAAGGCTGGCAAAGGTGGCTGTGTAGGTGCAGACACCAGAAGGGCGGCTCAGGGAGAAGACCCAGCCCGGGCCAAAGCAGGGAGGCAGGAAGTGAAGGCCTGGAGGGAGAGGAGCGAGCAGTGCAGTCTGTGGTCCGTAGGGGAAGGGGCATTCTGGGAAATAAGGCCGGAGAGGTCCTAGGTGTCAGTCTAAGGAAAGTTCTGTGTGGCTGACTAGGATAATAAAATAAAAAGGTGGAGGGGGAAGAGTTTAAGTAAAGTCTAGCTTAGCTACAAAAGACCTCACCAATTAGCCACAAAACCACTGACTTTTCCTGGGAGTAATCAATGTGCAAATCGGGGTTTGATTATGTATTCACTGGGTGGACTAGCAATGTCCACCCTGGCGCCTCTGTCACCTGCAGGTCACTGGCCAATGATTTCTGACTTGTTTCTGAAATACGTTCCTTCATCTCATGCTGAGTATTCGTGCTGGGGATCCTAGAGTGAAGAGGTGGTACAAAGGAGGGAACATGATCCCTGTTACCTGGAGTGTGGGGCTGGATTTCAGAGAGGGGCGGCATTCCACTGGGCCTTCGCGGGTGAATAGGAGTTCGCCAGGCGAAGAAATGAGGTGGGAAGGCCTTCCCAACCCAGGGAGTGGAGGCTCGTCTCCTCCGTTCTCACACCTTCGACCCCCCAGATCCTATGGAAATACAATTGTAAGTTTTCTTTTCAGACTCTTGGGGAATCTGGGTGATACTTAGTGAGTTCTTTCCGTTGCTGTAGGGACATTTCTCTAATACTAACGAGAAGTCAGGATTTCAGTAAATCAAATTGGTTATACTCTGTACTCACAACGGTTCCTCAGGGAGATTTTACTGATTTTTACTTTTTTGGGTTAGCAAAGGAAAGAATGTTTTTTTAAACTTTTTATTATATTTGTTCCATTACCATTTAGTCCCCTTATACCCCCCTCACTCCCAGGGGAGGAACCTTAAATCCTATTTTGGAGACTGGCTGATAACATCCGTCCTCAATGAGACGAACCCATGTCCCTTGTTTTTCACGCAGGGGCGGGAGGAGCCGTAATCCACTGTCACGCACGGCTCCTGCTTTCAGTGTTAGCAGGAGATTGCGCCCTCCTGAGCTTCCCAAGCGTTCACGACAGTGACTCAGACGCAGGTGGACACCCAAGACCATCCTTGGGCATCCGAAATGAGCTAATGGCTCATTTGAGCTCAAGATAAAACACAAATACGTCAAGATGGCCCACGAGGTTATGAGAAGGTGGGTGCGGAGTTCACGTGCGGCTGGAAAGAAGTGTCCTCCCACCCTGCACCCTCACTGAACACGGGTGTGGCGGGCAGGACGCAGGGAGGTGCGAGGGCCGGCCCGGGGCGCCCTGAGCCTCCGGCAGCACCCTGACGCAGAGCCGCGGCAGAAGCGGGGGAAGACGGAGAGCACAAGCTAGGTGACCGAGCAGAAGCATTTTGGGGAACTGATCCCTCCCAGTGGTATCTGATACACTTCCTCTCTCCCCCACACTCCGCCCCCCCTTGGCCTATCTCTCTGTCTCTTTCCTTTTCTCTGGTGGCGGGGCTCTGCGTCAGTTTCCGAAAGGTGGGGACATTTCCTGACGCCTTTGCAACACTGGGAGGCTGTCTTAAGGGAGGCTGGACCCACTCCGAGCTGGAGGCCGGGAACGCGAAGGCCGGGACTGCTGTGCTGGGGACGGGCCGCTCACCCTCCTCCTGCCTGTAGCCAGCGCGCACGGCCGGCTGGTGTCCGCCCGACCATGTCTCTGGCTGAGGCCATCAGCCTCTGGAACGATGGGGTGCTGGCAGCTGACAAGAAGGACTGGAAGGGAGCCCTGGACGCCTTCTCTGCAATCCAGGACCCCCACTCCAGGATTTGTTTCAATATGGGCTGCATCTACACCATCCAAGAAAACCTGGCCGCGGCGGAGAAGGTGAGTGAGTGGAGGTCCCCCCCACCCCCGTGGGCCCCACGGAGCCTTTGTAATGATCGGTTCCCAACCCTGGCTGCCCTGGAGAAACGTCTTGGGAGCTTTCCAAGAACGAAAGCTGCCCAGGCCCCACCCACGGAGGTCCTGATTTAAGTGGCCTGGGAGGGGCGTGGGAGCCCTTCATTTTTAAAAGCTCCCCAGATGGTTTGAACGGGCCAGCAGGCTGGGAACCGCTGTGGGTTCCACTCTCCTTTCTTCTCCCTCTATGAACTGCACATCATTCTGGAATGTTCTCTAACCCCCTCATGAAGACGCCCCTGGTTATGTTTTCTTCTGTGAACTCCTGCTGGCCACACACAGCCTCTGCGTCTCACTGCTTCACACCTGACGCTAAACCACCTCTTTTTGGCTTTCCAAGACTTTCACTGGTGGGGTGAGCTTTGTCTGCGCCAGAGGTCAAGAAGAGACACTAAAGTAAAATAGGTGTCATCTATGTGACAATTCATCTGTGTGACACTTACCTGGGGCACTCTTTTAAGGATTTTGAGGCTGGCAGAAGGAAATCGTACATCCGATGTCACGATAAGGAAATCGTGATTGATTGATGATGTCTGCCGGGGGCACCGTGTGGGGTGTTTCAGCATCTTTTTCAACTTTTTTTTTACTCTCTCATACTCCCAAGCATGAGGTTGAGCATTCGAGCATCACCTTTTGGATTGGTTAAGAGAAGCTGGAAAGGGAATCAGCAACAAATGGGTCCTCAGCCACTAATGTTAACTTCCAGCTCTGAGAGACTCAGAGGGGCTGAACATCTTGAGGACTGAGTGAGACACCACCTGTTAAAGTGTTGAGTCACTTCACACCAGGGTGTAAGTGTTAGTTCTTGTTTTTACCTTTTAGCCAGTCTTGGACAGATGGCTGGCCGCCCAGTCCCCTTAAAGAGCCGGTTCCTCCCACAGCCATCCTCACTGGGGCCAGAAGTGCGCAAAGAGAACGAGGACAGAAATTGCTTGGAAGGACCGTGCAGGCTGATAAGTCCGTCTCCGGTCCACAGCGGGTGGGAGCACTCGAGGGCCCCCTCCTCCTCTCGGGACCTGCCAGGGGGGCGGAGCAAATAGCAGCGCAGGTTCTGGGGGCTGCTGGAGGCCAAGTGCACCCTGGGGGAGGAGCTGCTCTGCGGCAGCTACACCAGCAGAGGCTTGTGGCCAGGCTGTGCTGGCCCCGCTGACCTCCAGTTCCCAGGCCCCACAGCTTCCTCTCGCCTCTCCGGACTTCTCCCTGCACTCTGCTGCTTTTCACACTCTCTGCCTTCCTCTGGTTTCCCGCATGAGTCCTCACTCCTGGCATTTTATATGCACTTTTTATTATTGTCCTCACCTGAGGACATTTTTTTCATTGCTTTTAGAGAGAGAGGAAGGGAGGGAAGAGAGAGAGAGAAACATCAATTTGTGGTCCTCTGTACCCGCACCCTGGCCAGGGACAGGTGTATGGGATGACCCTCCGACCAGCTAAGCTGCACTGGCCAGGGCTATTTGTTATTATTTTAATCGTGTAATACTGACATAATAAATCTGCATAATGAGTATATAATACTGTCCAAGACATTTTCATTGTTTTCATATTTAATTGTGTCTATTATTTTAATCCCGTTGGTAGTGTTGAAAAGCAGAAATTAATATACCACTCTACCGAGGAGAATACTAAAGTTACAGTAGATTAGGTAACCTGCCACATGGCATGCCACCAGGAAGTGACAACACAGAGCGTTCTGACCCCGGTGTCAACATAAGGACACCAACGATTCCCAAGACCCTTCTTGCCTCACCCTCTGGCTCATGGCGCACCTCCTCACTCACTGCCTGGCTGCTCGGCCACCAATGGACCTCCCCGTCTCCGCAGGCCTTCTCCAGAAGCATCAACCGAGACAAGCACCTGGCCGTGGCCTACTTCCAGCGTGGGATGCTCTACTACCAGATGGAGAAGTAAGTGGCCCAGGGTTGCACCAGCTGCGGACACTCACAGAGAACCCGGAGCGGGTCTCGGTGCTGTTCGCCCGGGTGTTTGAGAAGCAGCTGTCCAGCCTCTGGTGCAAAGCGTGACCAGACCCGCCCTGTGCGTAGTTATGCAAGAAACCAGCACGAGGCCCGGGCAGGGAGGGCAGGCCGGCCGCCCCGTTAGAAACCAGCCGTGTCAGAGCTCGCGACGAGCCTGCGTAACCGTCGCAGGCCGGGGGTTCCGCTGGTGTGGCACCCCACGAGCATCCCTGAGGGTGAGGGGTCACCGCTGGACGGTGCAGTTGTAAAGCGTTGGCCACCCCTGGTGGTGCTCTATTGTGAGGTGTTGAACTGTTGTACAGCAAGAGTCATCATGAAACCACATCAGATTTTCCGTGGTTTCTGCAGACTGGTTTCAAAAGCCTAGTTTAACCCATGTGATGAAATACTATTTGGCCAGCAAAATGAGAATACAGACTATTCACACAATATGTATGAGAATATATTGATCTAAACAAGTAATAGCATATATATTAATACAGAAAAAAGTTCGCAGTGGATGTTAAATTCACAACATAGGTTTCAGACAGTCTGTATCTCACAAGCCCACTTCTGTTTCACAGAAGAATCTGGAAGGCCATAGACCGAAACGTTGTCAGCGGTTCTCTCTGGGTGGTGACATCGTAGGGATTTCCATTTCCTTCTGTCCGTCTCTCTGTGCTTTCTGCTGTGTTTACTAACCACAAACTAGTTAGTAAGAAGATAAATAAATAGAAAATCAAAGTAAGTCTCACTTTCGTTCCCCTCCCCCAAGATGCCCCAGTAACAAACATACAAATAACAAAGGGAAAACATTCTAGGCATTAACTTAGCATGTTGTGGGGGATGGCAAGCCTTTGCAGCAATTGTTCCTTCCCTTCGTGGGCACAGCTCTAGGGAAGAAGATTTCAGCTCCGGCTAATGAAGAACTTTCAGTGAAAATGGTCAGAGTGTGGGGGTGGGGGGGTGCACACCTGTGCCCGTAGCGGGTGAGGCAGGGTGTTCGTGGGGCACGGAGGAGGCTGCAGAGAATGTCCAGGCATCGGGGTGGGGGCTGGTCTGATCGTGTGTATCCTTGCAAGGCTCCGATGCTAGGGTCTGGTCAGAATCCAAGCCAGGTAAGCCACTGTGCTCAGCCGTTGCCAGGGGCAACTACAAGAAGCCCAGAAGAGTTCCAAGATGTAGAGGCAGTCAGTTACCTGAGTAAGAAAGGGAAGCCAAGCCTTCCCGAAAGAAAAACCACACAGAGGCAGTCTGGGGAGAGCGAGGGCCTGGGCCTGAGGTGCAGGGTGTGTGGGGCAGCCTGGACACAAGTCCCCCAGCTGACCTTTGATCGTAAAGACGAACTCACAGGCCATCCTCTAATGAGCTCCAACAGCCTATAATGAGGGGAGGCACGGTCAAGAGGAAAGACTCCCGGAAGAAACTGCCACACGCAAACGCCCAGAAGTCCCTGAGCCCGCAAGCCTTGGATTTTGAGAGTCAGAAAGGTCTTAGGTAGATCTAGAAGTAAGACCCAGAATTCAATTAGCATGCAATGAATAGTAGTTAAATCTGAGAGCAAAGTCTACCGAATTTCACGGTTAATTCAATAGCAGCCTATTGAGGAAATGATATACAGGAGGCGCTGCCCTCCACCTGAAGCTCCTCCTTTGCTTTTGCTCCGTCGTAGACATCGGTGCCCTCCACCCCCGCAAGGCTCTGCTCGTGACCCCTCCCCCTTACATCACTGTAGCAGTGACTGTTAAATGGCAAAATGTATGCGTTATCTTCCCGGCAACACACACAGCGTGTGTACAACTTTACGTGCAGCTTCAGGGGGGTCGGTGTCCCCTGAAAACCCACACGTGAACCCTAGGGGTCCCACCCTCTCCTGCAGCGCTGGCCTCCATCTGTAGCCAGCTGGCTGCTGAACCTCTCCCTGGGACCAACCCAGGATGTCCCTTTTTCCTCCCCCTTGTCAAGCTGACCTCCGAAACATCTCTTACCTCCTGCCATCCTTCTCCACCCCCACCAGCTCCACCCCGGTTCAGACCCCCAGTTCTCACTGAGACGGCTGCCATCTCTTCCAAACGAATTTCTCTGCCACCAGCCTTGTCTTATCCACCCTTATCCCAGACGGATCTGCTTAAAAAAAAATTAATGTTATCTGCTTAAGAACTGTCAGTGACCCCACTACTGTAGGGTGAAGGCCCAATTCCCTCACCTGCTCCTGTGTGGGCCAGCCGCCGCCCACCCGCTCCTGCTCCACAGGTTTGCCCAGCCGCCCGGCCCCCTAGGGGGCGACCGACCGCTCTCTTCCGTGCCTCCTTTCAGAACGCCTGTTTTCCTGGTGACAGATATTTGCCAATGTCTAACGTGACAGATACTGGATATCCGTCTCCTTCACTACTCTGTGAGTTTCTTGAGAAAAGAAATCTTGACTTGTCCACTCTCGCTTTTCCGCATTGAGTATGGCAGTTCATAAATGCTTACTAAATGCATTAAACTACAGCGAGAAAAATATGGCCTCTGCTTTGCGGGAACTTGTTGAAAGGGGGAAACGGGGCCAGAACACCAGTGGCCACGATGCAAGGCAGAAGGGGACAAGCACTGGAAGAGCTATTTTAAAACAAGGTCCATGGGGAACTAGAAAGCTGACTTCTCAGTGCGTAGGCTAGGAATTCCCCCGGGTTGCAGCGGAACTCGTGTTAGGGCGATGATGGTGTGGGTCTTGCTCTCCATTGTCGCCACTTGCATGTGTCCTGCTGCTCTCCTGTCGCTGCAGAGTCAGTCCCCTAGAGCGCTGTCAGCACGCATATCTGCGGAGGCAGGTGGCGTCCCGGGTGACCGCGGCCAGACGGTCTCACTTCCCCACCCCCAGTCTGCTGGCTGAACGGGGAAGGAAGCTCTAGGTGTTTTGGGTCCTGGGCCCCATGACCCTGAGGGCTGTGATTGTAACCGTGAGACCCTTTAGATGTTGCTGGCTCAAGGAGGTGACTCGGCAAAGTCTTCGTCCTGCAGCCTTTGAAACTGGAAACTGTGACCCCCAGCTCGGCCACAGAGGGGTGTGACATTTTGACATTTTGCAGCAGCTGAAACTCTCTGTTTTAAAACTGTGGACTGCACGGGGCACAGGCAGAACAGAGGCAATCAGGAACACGGTGGTTACTAAGAAACCTTTCCAGTTAGAAAAATGAGGGCTATAAACCCTCTTGGGCTCAGAGTTTGCGAAAAGCCGGCCAGCTTGCTCCTGCCCCGGCCTGTGGGTGAGCAGGGTGTGGCTCGGGTCCAGCACGCACGGCGGGCGCCCAGCAGGAAGCTGCCAGCACCTTGGCCTTCCAGGGACACTGCTTTCCAAATGGCACTGGAGAGAACTGAAGGAGGGCCGGAGGGGGCGGGAGCTGCATGCCTCGGCCCACCCGCAGCCAGGGCTGCCTGCTGCTGTGGAATTTCACACAGAGCCAACTCAGGCCCCGGGCAGCTGGCAGCGGGCAGCCGGCTGTGTGTCAAGGCAGGTGCCCCCAGGGTGCAGCTCCCAGGAAACAAGGGAGGCTGAGCAGAGGCCCAGCAGCGAGCAGCCAGGAGGATGCTTTTAAAGACACGTTTAAAATCTGACATTTACAGAGGGCTCCCCACCCATTTTTAACACAAAGCCAGCCCTTTGAACATCAGTAATTGGTGGGTTCTTTCTCTCTCCCACTGGGCCCAGATCTCTAGATATTGTGATGGGCTGGAGAATTATGAGAACGATTTTGTTGGGGTCACTCAATACCAGGAGGTGCGGGCGGTGTCACCGCACAGCTGAAATGCATCCGCCTCGCCAGGGCTTTTGCCCGGGAGCAAGCGCACTGCGGGTTAATGCTGTCAGCACCTGGGGTGTGCCCTCTGAGCACTGAAACTGTCACACACGCAGACAGCGGACACCATGGCGCTTCATGTGCCCACGGAACAGGGCGCCTGCATCTCTCCTGCCCCTCCTTCTTGGCTCAGCGAGTCAGAGCCAGTCCCCCAATCTTCCAGCCTAGAAAGAAGGTACAAAGATGCTCTTAAAAAATGTGCAGAGACCTTGGAGTGTTTCCTGCTTCCTAAGGAATGGCCTGCACGCTTTTAGTAGGGTTTGCACTGGTCTTTAGGAACAACGAGGGTGTGTTAGAGAAAGCCTTTCCCCTGTTTCTTCCCTGACTGCTGCAGCCGCTGCTGCTGTGACTTCAAACCCGGTGGTGACAGAAGGTCCAGCTTCTCCTCCAGCCATCTGGGGACACACCTCTTAGGACTCTCTCGGCCCGCCCACCCTCCTGGTCAGCTCCACGCTTCCCTGAGATCAGAGCTCCAGCTTCTACAACTGTACATTTCGATCTCCTGATAATACAGTCTAGAGTGTTAAGGGAGCATGTACCAAATGGTTGGCATGTGAATTTAATTGCCAGACTTTTAGAGCTGAAAATAATAATAATAATAATAATAATAATAATAATAACAACAACAACAACAGTGATAATGATATAAATGACCATGTGTACCAGGCACTGTCCTAAGCACCTGAATGCTTCACCGCATTCAGTTCTCACAACTCTGGGACACACATGCTACTGTCACGCTCTATCTCTGAAGACGAGGAAACTTAGAGAAATGAAACAACTTGTCCTTTGTCACTAGATAGTAAATGGCAGAGCCAGGAGTGAAGTCCATGTGGTTTTGACTCCAGAAATTAGATCCGGGACCACCTACTAGCAGGCTTCTCATATTCTAGGCTCCTTGAATATAAAATGCTCCTGGTATACAATACACTCCTTATATTTTGGACCCAGATCCATAATTATGGCTACGGAAGTAACTCACCAGGGCCTCCTGGGCAGGGGCACAGCTAATGGATGTGGTCCCAGTCTCCTGGCCACTGTCCTAGGGCGCCTCACGACACCACACCACTTCCTGCAGGTCTCCCGCAGCCTGAGTCCAAAGTCCAGGCTCGCCTCCAGGAGAAGCCACAAGTGGCAGCTCTGGGTCAGAGAGCGGCCTGGGAACTCATGGTTCAGGTGCCCTGTGGGGGCCACAGCCAGCAGCCAGATTTGTTCCTTCCAGGCCAGGGGGCTGGGTAGGGAGGGTAACTTGTGTTTTGCTGCTCCCCCCATCCCCAGCACCCCACAGCCCGAAGCCCAGCCGTGGCTCCCCCCTACCGGGCCAGAGAGGTCAAGGGCAGGCTGAGGAAGCGTGGTGCAGGTCCTGCCCACATGTCTGTGGGCCCTGCTGATGTGACCAGCCCCACTCTCTGCCCCAAACCCACGGCAGCAGCCCTGACGCACCTGAGCCAGTCAGCACAAGGCCGATCCAGGAAGGCAGGGTGCGGTGCCCGGAACGGGGTCAGAAGTGCTGTTGGCTCAAGGGGTGGTTTCCTTTTTTCCAAGTGCGTGGAGGAGGAGGGAGGGGAGAAGAGACTAAGCAAGCCACAAAACCAGCTGAATTGCACTCAGAAGAAGCCAAGGAGGAAGCTGGGGCAGGAGAGGGTCTCAGCGGCTGTGGGAGGGGCCCTCCAAGCCTCGGTGTCCCTGCGTCAGGCCATCAGGCCGGCCTGGCCTTGGGTGGGGGGCGGGGAGTGCGCAGCCCTCTGAACCGCCTTGCGGGGACCGGGGCCTGGCACATGCTGGCCCGGCCTGGAGCTCCTAGGAGAGAACAGGGCTCTCGTGCAAAGTGACAAACCTGTTGTCAGAAAGGTGGGTGTGGTGTCCAGTCAACAAAGAAGGAAATACCTCCGGCTGCCTGAGGCTGGGTGTCAGACCCCAGGGGCACCGCACACACTGGGTTCTGCAGAAAGCTAGAGCTCAGGGTTGGAAAACAAAACAAAACAAAACAAAAAACCAAAAACCTGGAGCATGAGAAAGGCTCTTGTCCCTGAGAGGCCAGCGGAGAAAGGGACGCAGACACACATCTGACCCCACAGTTTCTCCTCCGTGCCCTGGACTGGTTTATCTTCTCCCTCCATCCCGCAGGTACGATCTGGCACTCAAGGACCTTAAAGAGGCCTTGACTCAGCTTCGAGGGAACCAGCTGATAGACTACAAGATCCTGGGGCTGCAGTTCAAGCTGTTTTCCTGCGAGGTAAGGAAGCACAGCCCGGACATGAGTGCGTCGGCCTGTGAAAGTTTTCACTGTGACTGGCATCGCTCGGGTTGACAAGCTGTCTGCCCAGCGTTACGCTAACAAATCCAAGTCATGGGTTCGCTCTCCACGCAGGGCCTGCCGTGACCTTGCTCAGTTCCCAAGGCACAGACCACGCTCTTTGCTATTAATGGTTCTGGCCTCATGTACTCGGTTGATACCCATGGAGTGAGGATAATTTGGCACCAATCTGTCCCCTCTCGGTCCAAGAGCAGCTCAGCGCACACACTTAGGAAAGGTCCCCATGGGAGGATAACATACTTTCTACATTACCAAGGAGGAGAAACGCGACTGGCTTTGATTTCTCAAGTTAGTGTACTTTTTCCAGCCCTCACCCCTCTCCAACCTCAAATGTCCCGCTAGCTTTGGAAACTGAAATCCCTGCAAATATCGTAGAACTTTATTTAGAAGAATCACTGAAAAAAAGTCCCTTTGCTTTGGTTTCTCAAGTGGGAGAAGCCGAGCGTTTTCAGGGTAGCCCAGGGCTAATAATAGCGTCCACAGCGGCCCAGGCCCCTGGGGACATGTGTGCCCGTCCAGCCCTGCTGCGGGCTGGCAACTTCCTCCTCTGGTCCCCATCTGGGGAACAGGGTTTGCAGTGGGGAGTGCTGGCATTCGGCCAGCTTCTGGAGCAGGGTTTCTCCATTGTGGCACTTCCAGTGTGTTGGCCTGAATAATTCTCAGTTACAGGGGGCTGTCCTGGGCATTGTAGGACGTTGAGCAGCATCCCTGGTCTCCGTTACCCACTGGATGCCAGTAGCACCCCACCCCCAGTGTGACCACCTAACTGTCTCTACGCGTGACCAATTGAGAACCGCTCACATGGATTGAAGGGCTGGGGGACCACAGAGCTCCAGAGCGAAGGTCATGAGACAGTGGCAGCTAAGCAGCCTCCCGTGGGAGGAATGTTCCTGCTGGAGTTGACACTGAGGTGACCCCGGGGCAGGAGACGCCGGCTGTCTGGGCCTCTCTGCAAGCGAGGCTGGACTGTCTGAGGCCGAAGGCCCTTCTGCCACTCGGGCCCCCCCAGGCACCTCCCTACTTCTGATACCACGCCTGCCTTCCGCGGGCTGTCACTCTGGCTCTGAGAAGTCGGCCTTCCTTTTTGAGAAGAGACCCAACCTTTTCCCGTCAGGGAGCCAAAACACCTGGTGTGGCAAAGGTCTACGCAGAAGATGGCCAGGAACTGGCCAAAACGGCCCTGCAGCGTCCTTGCTTCCTGCACACACGGTCAAGGGTGGGCTGGGCCCCAGTGTGCATGTGGAAGGCGACCAACCCTTCATGGAGGCTCTGAGCCTTTCTGGTTTTGTTTTGTTTTGTTTTTTAAAATCCTGCTGATGCATCTAAAACATTTAATTCTATGTGTAAGTTGTGAAGCATGATAACCAAACACACATTCATGAACCTATCACCCAACTCAAGACCTGGAAAATTACAGCCATTGGATGGATGGGCTGTTCCCTCCCGCCCAGGTGAGGCACTGTGCTGGGCTTGGGCCGAGTCCCTTTCCAGCTTCTGTCCATACAGTGATAGAGTGTCCTCGTTCCTGGTGCCTGGCTCACAGTATCGCTAGCGCCGCGTCCCAGGCAGGGTTCTGTGGATGCTGGTGCAGGACACTGCGTCTGGAACCCTCTTTCTCCCCACCCCGCACCCGCCTGCTCCCTCAGCCTAGGCCCAGAGGCAGGAGCTATGTTGAGAAGCCACACACATGTATTTATTCCCAGCTCTTCAAGGGGCCTGGAGCCCATCACTCTTCTTGATTCTAAAGCCACATGGTAACTCTTGTTGCTCCTGACCGACCTGGTTGTCCAAAAACTGTACACCATGGAGTTGGATTGGTGTATCACGTGAGGTCCACTTAACACCATCCTTGTGCTGCACACCACTCAGTAGCAAGATTGACGGCATTGTATTATCTCCAGACATTCCCAAGAGAGCTGGGAAACGGAGATAGGTTGCCAGGCAACCTTCCAAGGGCACCATGCAAGCTCCTTCCTGGCGCCCAGATCTGAAGCAGCCCCCAGCTTTACGCTGCGGCCTGTGCCTTCCTAGGTCTTGTACAACATTGCTCTCATGCACGCCAAGAAGGAGGAATGGAAAAAGGCTGAGGAGCAGTTGGCGTTGGCTATGAGCATGAAGTCCGAACCCAGGCATTCCAAAATCGACAAAGCCATGGAGTGCATTTGGGTAAGCGGCCGGGGGGCGCAGGTGGGGAGAGCGTGTCATTGGGTTTTTGTTTGTGTAGGGGGGCGTGCAGGTTGAGAAACCATACAAGTGGTGCTTTTACTTTCTCTGGGCCCTGGGTAGTAGAATTCCAGGCAGGGGCTTGACTCTGGAAGTGCTAGGAAGCGGAGGCCTAGAATAGGAGTCCTCAGAGTCCTGCCTTGGGCCACCACCCCCACCCCAGCCCCCACGTGGGGCTCCGTGGCAGCAAAGGGGAGCAGGAGGCTGGAGGCTGGAGTCCAGCACGCAAGGGCAGAGGCTGTGCCTGCTGGTTCACCGTGAGTCCTGGCAGGCAGGCACTGTGCCAGGCACACCACCGCTCTTGACAGAAACACCTTGGTTATATGAACAAATGCTAAAAAGTAGCCTTTGCTTGTCTGAGCACATTTGGGATGAAGCTCACTTTGAATCGGGTCTTTAAAACGGCAGGAACAAGGGGACACAGGTCAGTCTTTACATGGCTGTGCTGCAGACACGGATCCCAACACGGCACAGCTCTGGGCCCCGCAAGGCGCGGCGGTGCCCCCTCCACTGTGAGTGGCAGCGCCACCCGAGCCACACGGAGTGGGAGAGGGGCGGCTCCCCTTTGAAACGAGGCTGCTGGGCAAGCAACGCCGACAGATGTCCACACAGCCTCTCAGTGAAAAGGGACTTTGCAACCCACCTTTCCTACCACAGACACCCTGAAATAGCAGCAAGTTCCATCCTTCCGAGTCTGGGAAAAGCGCTTCGGTGAGGTGCTCTCTGTGGATCCTCGCATGCGTTCGGTGAGGCAGGCAGGACAAGCCTCCTCACCTGTACCCTACAGGTAAGGAGACACTGTGCTGTCTGTGTCACAGAAACAGAAGCTGTACGAGCCGGTGGTGATCCCCGTGGGCAGGATCTTCCGACCCAACGAGAGGCAAGTGGCCCAGCTGGTCAAGAAGGATTACCTAGGCAAGGCTACGGTAGGTGGATCCCTCAGCCTCCCCGTCTCCTGAGACGTGGGCCCTGCAGAGCATGGTGGGAGGGACTCGGGGAAAAGGGCTCCCCCTTGTGGTTCTGCCCCGGGATGGCAATGGGAGACTGTGCACAGTGTGGTGCTCTTGTTGAAGATGCTTCTAGTTTACTTTCTCCGGGCGCCTCTCATCCCTAACCTTCCAGCCTGACCCTGGGCGAGGGCCGACTCACAGGGTGCTGAGTCTCGGGGACTGAGCCAGCGGAAGGAAAGCACAGCTCTGAGGTGCTCAATCAATGTGGAGAGAACATGTCAGGGAAAGGGACCAGCGTGACGTCTTCTTAGCTTAACGCTTCCTGTGGCCACGCTTCCACAGCCCCAGGACTAGACTGGAGTCCTTCTGAGCCCTGGTCTTGGTCTTAGACCCTCTCAGGAATGGTCCACAGTTAGCCAACAGCCCTGTTCCAAAACTGCACGTGACTTTGATGCAACTGTAGGGCCAAAGTTGCCTACCGACGGGGTAGCCGGTTCTGGCACAGCCGAGAGACTGGGTTAGTGGGGGCCCCCAGTGTCCACCAGTGGGTGAGCGGACGAGCAACATGCGGTATAGCCCCACGATGGGATGTAGGGACCAATGCGAGTCCTGGCATGGATGAACCCTGAAAAGACTATGCCGTGCGAAGGAAGCGAGGCACAGAAGCCGCGTGTTACACAATCCTGTTTACAGGAACTGTCGAGACTAGGTGATGCACAGAAGCAGAAGCTAGATGGTGACCGCCAGGTGCTGGGAGGACAGGGGATGTGGGCGTAATGGGGACGGCGTTTCTCTGGGGGCCGGTGAGAATGTTTTGGCACTAGACGGAAGTGGTGGTCACGCAGCCTCGTGATCGTGGGAAACGCCACTGTGTTGTGTGCTTGAAAATGGTTAATGTTATAGCATGTAAACTTCACCTCAATAAAAACCTCAAAAATGAGAAAGAGAGAGAGGGGGCCTGCTGGGTGAGCGGGGGCGGGGTGGGTACCAGTTTCTTCAGTCGCTGAAACTTCCCACCCAGAGGGTCAGCCCTCCGGTCCCTAGCCACTGTCCGCTTCTAGAAGCAGGCGGCAGTGACAATGGGCCCAGGGTGCGAGAACGGAGGGGAACTTGACGGGGAAACGGTGCTGGCCGAGCCCTCACGCCCTCCTTCCTCCGTTCCAGGTGGTGGCGTCCGTGGTGGATCAGGACAGCTTCTCCGGGTTTGCGCCTCTGCAGCCACAGGTGAGGCGGCCCTGCCTTCCCCGTGGACCTCGCCTCCCGGGCTCTCTGTGCCACGTCCAGTGTGGGGAGAGCATTTTCGCTGGGCGGCCTCATTTCAAGGGCTCCTTCACCCAGCCGCTCAGGGCTGCTGAGGGTGTCTGCCTGCTCCTCCTGGCCCGGCGTCCACGACCGGTGGAAACGAAGCAGTTTGAGGATTCACCAGCCTCGGGTCCTCAAGAAGCCAGCCCTCCTGCTTCCCCCACCCCCAAGTGCCAGCCTTCACTTCTCTATGTTCTGAGAGCTGCTGATGCTCTCTCCTGGACCTGGGACTCTTCGCTCAGAAAACGGGAACACAGCTAGCGCAGGATTTTGAACAATTCTTCTGGGACCTGGGCTAGTAGGGGACTCCCTCGGGGGCTGGGGCCTGAGGCCGGGAGCTCTCCTGGCTGCACCCATCTGCCTGTGATCAGGGGTTCCCTGGGGAACACAGGGAGGGTGCCCGCAGCCCATGCTGGGCTCGGAGACGTGGTTCCAGAGGGACCGGACGACAGGCGTCCAGAAATGTGAAGGCAGGAGGCATGGCTTCCTCGGGAAGGGAAGAGGGTGAGACAGGCCAAGCAGAATCTGAGCGGTGTTGCAAGATAACGTGGATGGGCAAGAGCGCCGCTGCGCACCCGCAGGGGAGGGGGTTCTGAGTGGGGCGCCTCCACTCCGGTCTGCACGCCCCTGGGCACTCCCGAGGGCAGCTCTGACAGCCGGCCGGAGGCCAAAGGGTGGCCACTAGCCCAGAATGTGACTGGTGCTGGGGCTCCGGAGGGCGAGGTGAACGACGGAGAACAGAGATCCAGATTCTCTGACCTTGTTCTCACACTAACTTGTGGGAAAACTCGAGAAGTCCCTTGGGCTTCAGAGCCACCCGAGGGCTCCAAGGGGAGAAGATGCCAGTCGGGGTGGAACAGGAAACACGCATGGAAAGGGGGCTCCTGCCTGGCCAGTGGATCTGGAGTTGGCTTTAAATACCCACAGGCGACATGCGATATAGCAGACATGAATTATAGAACAGAGTTTTTGGAAACTGTCCTAACAATGGGACGGAGCTCAAGGTCAAAAGCATCCTCGCGACGCCATGTGGCCCTGTCACAGCTAAACTTCCCCAGGAAGCAGGTCTGGCTGAACACCAGGTGCTGTGCCGGTGAAGCCGGTACCCAGGGAGCCGGCGGGAGGTGTTACTTCCCAGCGTGTAGTCAGGGCACCCCGCGCCCTCTCCCTGGACAGAGTCCTGATGGAGCCACAAATGCGTTCTTTGATTTCCTGCTCTGGGAAGAAGGCTCAAACTACCATTAATAATCTGCTCTTTCTTTCTTTGCTGTCCTGCCCATCTTGGTTCCTCCTGAATGTTCAATAGGCAGCTGAGCCTCCGCCCAGACCCAAAACGCCAGAGATCTTCAGGTAAGTTAAACACAAATCAATGTGCAGAACAGCCCAGCTCCAAGCCTGGGCTGGGGGCAAGAGAGGCGGTGGAGAAAAGGAAGCCGGGGTCAGGGTCTCCTCTGTGCTGGGACTGACCCTGGGGGCCTGGGGACAACGACAAGGTGGCCCTGTGTCCCCACGACAACAACGTGCATGCCGCCATGCGGTGAAGCATTCTTGCTGAGCAGCAGGAGTGTCCCGGGGAACACTGTCCCTCCCTCCCTCCCCGAGGGCTGGGCGCTGGCCGGGGCTGCAGAGCGGAGGCCGAGCTCACTGGAGCCCAGCGAGCAGAGCGGGAGGCCGGAGCGGCCTGTCCTTTCCTGTGTGGCTGTGTCTTTGCTCCTTCTCGGCACAAGTTTTCTGAAAAAGAGGAAAGACTCAAGAAAATGAAGTCATTCTTCTGTAAGACGAGAAGGAAAGAATGACCTCACCTACAGCTTTCTTAAGAACTGCCTCTCAGGGAGGAAGCTCGCCCAGCTCCCCACCCCGAAAAAGGTTCCAGCAAGTGACAAGAGCCCCAAAGCAAGTACACAAATGCGGGGCCTGGCGCAGCTCGTTCCTACACTCTGTCTGCGGGCCACTCTGTGCCCACTCTGCAAATAGACGCAAGGGCTGGAGACAAAAAGGGGGCAGAGCACCCAGGAGGGCAGAGGGGGAGGGCCCCAGCGAGCCCGGAGTGAGGGAGGAGCGAGAAGCCACAGCGGGCCACCATGAAGCCAGCCTGGAAGTCACACACTCCAAAGCGCCCAGCGCCTTCCACAGCAGAGGAGGTGCGGAGGAAGTGGTCCCGGGGGACGACCTTGGGGCCTTGCGGAACGCAGAGCCCGCACATCCCCTTCTCCTCACAGCACCTCCTGTGGGCACTCCCGCCCCCTCCTGACCCCACCCTGGCTCAGGGGCCTCCTCCTCCCTCACCCCCCCCACCCCCCACTCATCTCCTCGCCCAGCTGGCTCTTACCTGCACACTCACCTGGCCGCCCAGCCCAGCCCAGACGTGGGAGCCGGCCAGGCACACCCTTGAGCCTGCTCCTCAGAAGGGAAGGCAGGAGGAGGAAGGAGGACTGCAAGGCTTCTACATCCACGTAGTTTTCTTTTATTCTTGTTCCCCCGTGTATATGGTGAGGGAGCAAGTCCACGTGTCTTCCCTGCGGAGTACTCTGCGAGCCTGCGTGGGGGGCAGGCGCCCACTCAGGGTCACAGAGGCAGTTAGACGTGGAGTTAGAGGGTGTCTGGAGCGCGCCTCCGGGCTCCAAGTCCCCTGTGTTGTCCCATAGTGGGAGGCCACACGTTCCAGGCCAGACAGTGGACGACATCTGTGTCTACCCCTCAGGGCTCTGGAAGGGGAGGCTCACCGCGTGCTGTTCGGGTTTGTGCCCGAGACACCAGAGGAGCTCCAGGTCATGCCTGGGAACATCGTCTTTGTCTTGAAGAAGGGCAATGATAACTGGGCCACGGTCATGTTCAACGGGCAGGTATGCAGAAGCCCCGGGGGTGGTTGGGGGGCATGGGATCCTGGCAGCAAAGGGCAGAGCTTTCTGAGCACCCGTGTCTGCTGCCTTCTTTGCAGAAGGGGCTCGTGCCCTGCAACTACCTGGAGCCGGTGGAGCTGCGGATCCACCCTCAGCAGCAGCCCCAGGTACCGTGGCGCCAAAGCCTGACCCACCAGCCCCCACCCCAACCGCCGACGGACCTCTCCACCGTCCTGAGCACTGGAGAAAGACTTGCTGGCCCTGAGCCCGCCTCCTGTGGCACCAGCTGCCCAGAGCTGGACGTGGGATGAGGGGAAAGGCCCAGACATGCTGAGTGGAGGCACCTTCGGGATCTCCTGGGCCCACTCGCCTTTGTGATTCCTCCCGGTCACGGGTGACATGGCTCCCAGAGCCCATAGTATATGGAGGTTAGGTCTGCCCAGAAATGCCCTCTTCACCTGCGCTGGCTGGTGAAATATCATTAAAAAAAGACAACGACGACAGGTGTGCTCTAGAGCACTGACGGCGTAGGCTTTGCCCATCACTGCTTCTGAAGCCCCTCCATTCCCCCCAGTGCCCATCTGCTGGGCCTGCCAAGCGGTCTTTGTGGGATCTGAGCAGCCGAAGAGGTGGCTGGGGGCCGTGGAACCAGGTGTCCTCTGTGGGCGTGGGCCTCCCTGGTCAGAACCACGACACCAGATGACTCAAAAAGGTTCCAATGCCTTACAAAGAGAGAGGGGGACTTTTCCTTTGAAGGGCAAGGTGTGGCGTGAGAGGGCGAGCTAAGACCAGAGCTCAGGGCCCCACGCCGCCCCATGGCCCGAGGATTGTCAGTGTATGCTGACGGGTGAGTCGGCAGCAGGGCCTCTGGGAGGGGGCTAGGCTTCTGATTGCCACTGTGGTTGGTTTGCACCAGGCCAGGCCTGCCCCCCGACTTCACCCACACTTTCCTCCGTCTCCCCTGGAAGTCACCACCACCCCAACTTGTCGAAGTCACTGCATCTGGCTCTTCCCTTTGGGGGTCTGCGGGGGCTCACTCCACCCCACTCTTCCTCCGGCCTAAGCACTTGGTCAGGATGGAGGTTCTCACCAGCCCTTCCTGTCACCCCAGGAGGACGCTTCCCCGGAGTCCGACATCCCGGCTCCGCCCACAGGCAGTGCGCCCGGAAGACCCCTGCAGCCACCAGGTCAGTGTCCCTGGAGCAGCCTCCCAGGCCCCAGGGGAAGGAGCGCCCCAGGCTGCTTCCAGGGAAGGCTGGTTTCTCCTCCTCTCAGCAAGCCACTCAGCGGCAGCTGAGCACACTGGGGCCCGTCTCTCCTGCACCCACGACCCAGGAAGGAGATGCCCCCCGCCCGCCCCTGCTCCAGAACACCCATGGGGCCTGGGTGAATGCAGCTGGTTTTGGGGGGCAGAGAGCACCCCGACTCAAGTAGCACCAAACCCCTCAGTCAGAACCAGACCCAGTCCCAGGTGCAGCAGCTGAAGTAACTCCGAGCGGGTGGTGGGGCTCCTTTCAAAGGGCCTGCGGAGCTCTGTTACCTGGAAAGGAAACTGACCCGCAGAGCCCTCGGGGTCAGAGGAAGACCAAGGGGCGATGGGGACGGGAGACCCTGCCGGTAACAACGCGCTGTGTGTCTGTGATGCAGTGCGAGCAGGCTCTGAGCAAGTGCGGGAGGGAGGCATCGGCGGGCGGCGTGCCCAGATTCCACACCAGTGATCACTACGCCCACCGGGCCGTCAGAATCCCGCGGCGCTCCCCACACCCGTTTTTATTTAGAAAAATGTCAGAAAAGTTGCAAATATGGTCCAAAAAATGCCAGCTGCTTTTCACCCAGATTCACCAATTGTTAACGTTCTGCACCATGTGCTTGCCCTGCTCCGCCCTCTATATACTGATGTTTTTTCTGAGAGGCCGAGCCACCTGAGCCACAGGCTGATGACACTTCGCCCCACACTTCAGCACGTGTCTCCTAATGGCAGGGGTGTTCCTCTGCGTGCCCCCAATACAGGCAGTATACCTAGGACTGTCTGATATTCGTATTACAGAATGTGTACTGCATGTTCAGGTTTCTCCAATCCTCCTCCAAAGCACCCTTAATGTCTTTCGTTTTGTCTGTTTCTCTAAGGGGCCTATCAAGAATCTCCCATTAACCTAGGAAGATTTTAAGAATATAAATTCCTAGGCCTTTCATTCTGCTTTTTTCAGGACTAAAATTAAGCTTAGGAACCTGTACTTCTAGAAAAAAAAAAATCCCAAGTGATTTTAATGACCAGGCTTGGTTTGAAATCAGTGATCTCTTTTGACCCGGAATCCCGCATAGCTCCTTTATTCACACTTCTCTGACATAACCCATACGCACATTGCCCTATTAATACACTATCACATTAAAAACACACAAAAATAAAAAGAATAAGGGAAAAATAAGTGGTCCCACGATTTCTTCTTGTGGCCCCCGGCTCATCTCACACTCCCTGTTTGTCTTTGCTTTGCCGCCCTCGGGTGTTACTGGCCTTCGGGGTCCCTGCGGACACCGTGGGTTGGGGTGGTCGGGAGGTCCTGTGGTAACTAACTACCCAAACTCTCCCTAGAAGCACAGCCAGGTTCCTCTGTGGGCTCACGGCTTTGCCCTTCACGTCTCCCCAGAGTGAGGTTTTTCCCCGCAGTAAGGTTAACGATGCCCCAGAGGTGAAAGGGCACGGAGCTGGGCGTCTGTCCTGGGAGGTTTCATTCTGTGTATGGAAGGGCCTGGTCAAGAGTGTTGATTCATCTTCTTTTTTCACTCCTTACCCTCTCCCTTTAGGTCAGAAAGAAGAAGAGCCCAAGGTAACCTTTTTCCCTGGTGCTAAAGTGGGGGAGAATGGAAGAGCTTGGGCCTCCACCACGGGCATGTCTCCCTGGATGATAGAAAGGGTAAAGAAAGGGTAGACCAGTTGCCACCATACTCACAGTCCACGAACTAGAGACCCCTCCAGTCCCCGGCCTCCACACACGTTTCCTACTGGCCCACGGCTGGTGAGCTAGATCTCATGCCATAGGAATTCCCATCCAAGCGAGAGTAGGGCTAGAAGACCTTTGGCCTCGCCCCTGGCCACATACAGTCCTCCCTGTGCTACCAGTAAAGCCGTGGAGACCCGGGATTTGCTGGAGGAAGCCTCAGAGGCTCACAAGTTCCCTGTGCTTCCTCTCCCCTCAGGAAATAAAGCTCAGCGTCCCCATGCCCTACACACTCAAGGTGCACTACAAGTACACGGTCGTCATGGAGACGCAGCCCGGCCTCCCCTACAGCCAGATCCGGGACATGGTGTCCAAGAAACTGCAGCTCCTGCCGGAACACACTAAGCTGAGGTGAGCTCCATGTAGGTAGCAGGGAGGGGACAGCTGGGGACCTGGCACTGGCCTAGAGGACAGTTTTACACTGAAGCGCTCTGACGTGGTGCTTCCTCGTTACCCCCACCCAGCTATCGGCCCAAGGACAGCAATGAGCTGGTGCCCCTCTCGGAAGACAGCATGGAGGCCGCCTGGGGCCAAGTGAAAAACTACTGCCTGACTCTGTGGTGTGAGAACACAGTGGTGAGTGCGGCCAGCCCGGGGCCACTTCCTCAGCAGGAGTTCAGCCTTTATCCGCCACTGGTTTCACTCTTCTAGCCTCAGTCTCAGGTGAGGAAACGGAGGTTCACAGAGGGTACGATGTGGCAAGCAGTGGAGCTGGGGTTCCAACCTGGCCTTTGGACCCCGTGGGGCCACTTCCACCTTACTGTGTGTGCCGCCTTTCCGGACAGAGGCTCTGCCCAGGTCGGAGCAAACCGCCCTGGGAATCGGGCGCTGCTAACACACAGCACAGCCCGCAGCCTCGCGGCCTCTAACGCCCATTTCTCAAATCCTTTGATCCACGCCTCCAGACACCGCGCACCCTTCCTCCACGTCTGTGGGACGGAGATGACGTTCATGGCCGTGGTCCTGGGTAATCGTAGGGCACCGTGCAGCGGTCCTCGAACTTGAGCAGGGACCCGAGTTACCCACCTACAGCAAGACTGCTGGGCCCCACCCACAGGGTTTCCGACTTACTGGGGCTGGGAGGGAGCTGCAGATCTGCATTTCTGACGAGGTCCCCGGGGCTGCGGACTCCGTTGGAGACCTAGGTCTGCCTGTGCGTTCTGCCCCCTCGTGGGTGAGTCCCCCCCGTTCCTCCATCTGGAAAGAAGTATCGAGAGCGCCCACTCTACCTTTTGGGGATAAATTACTAAGTTTTCAGGAAGACTTTGGGGCAACACACGGCCCCGCAGACCTTCAGCTTCGTTCACCCGGCCATCCCGTGTCCACGAAGGACACGTCAGGTCTGCGCCGGACACCGATCCCAGACCTGCCGTTGAGATCGTGGCGCACATGCCGCACCCGACATCTCCCCGACCGAGTCCTTTAGTGATGTGACGTTCGCCGCTCCCTGTCCAGGGAGCTGGCAAACTGACAGGCCCACTGTCGTTTCAGGGCGACCAGGGCGTTCCCGAGGAACCCGAGGGGAGCGGGACATCGGAGGTGCGTCACCAGGCACCAGAACCTCAGCTCAAGGAGGGGAGCCAGGTGGTGGCCCTCTTCAGTTACGAGGCCACCCAACCGGAAGACCTGGCGTTTCTGGAAGGGGACGTGATCCAGGTTGTATCCATGGGTGAGTGCTACTCCCGACTGCAGGAGTTAACCGGGAAACAACCCATCCGATGTTCTGAAACTTTATGGTAACACGTAAACAGAAAACAGGATGCAGCCTAAGTACTGGGCGGTGCTGGGGCCGAGTTCACCTCTGTTGGACGGTTGTGAGATGGTTTCCCGCACCCAGTTCCTCACGCTTGAACGGGAACTACCTGGGGAGCCTGTTAGAACAGAATCCCATCCTAGCTCAGAGTTGGGGTGGGGCCTGGGAGTCTGCATTTCTAACATGCTCCCGGGACCCAGGACAAGCCCATGTTTCCAGTCCATGGCTTGTGCACAAATAGGAAAGCTCAAACGGGCTGCAACGAGAACCACCCTGGGGAAACTCTAGAATGAACACCCTGGCGCCCAGCCGCCCCGCCGAGTCAGAGCGGTTTCCGGCCAGGACCCGAGCGCCAGGGCTGTGTCCGATCTGGACGGAGCACATCCGAAGACAGACTCAGCTGCTCATGGGGACTGGCAGACGGGCTTTGGAACAGGTCACCCCTCAACTGAGATTAGCAGAGTGAGCCCAAACAAGCTGTTAGTCTCTCTGGGTTTCCTTTTCCTCAGTAAAATAGGAATATCTACACCTGAGTTATTATGAAGTCTGAAAAAAATATAGAGATATATACACACATACATGTACATATATCCTAGCACAGTTCCTGCACTTGAGTAAATAAAATCCTTGTTTTACATGCACTGAGCCCCTCACTAGCTCCAGCTCTCAACCCCTGGACCACCCGCTAGTGACCCCTCGTGAGCAATATACTTAGCCAGTGGCGTGTCCCCTCCCCGCGGTCAAAACAAAGACTCCCAACGCGGTTCAGATAAACTTTCCTGTTAGAAACGCTACCTGCAGATCATCGCTCAGCTTCTCCCGTCTCACTCCCCCTCTGAAACACCCAATTCCTTCTCCCGGGTTTCACTGCTCCGCCGCGTCCCCGGCTGGGGCAGGAGCCCCACGTTCCCTCTGAGGCCCAGTCACTGGCCGCCACTGACCTCTCCCGGGCGCGGCGGGGGGAGGGGGCCGCGGGGGGGGCGGGGGGCTGACCTGAGACCCGTGGGGACAGCCGGCCAAGGCCGCTCCCAGCACGGGTCTCGGACACGGACCCCTGCCCTCCCCGCCCGCAGTGAACGACGACTGGCTGGAAGGGGAGTGCGGAGGGAAGATCGGCATCTTCCCCAGGGCTTTCGTGCAGGGCCGGGCCGCCGCCCACCCGGACAGCGCGCCCAGGGCGGTCTAGCATGTCTTGCAACCCACGGAGCGGAAGGAAGAAAAGCGCCATCTCCCTTGCAAGACTGAGGACGCCTCCGCGGCACGCTGTGCCGAGACCGCCGCGCGGTGGAAGTGCTCGCTTTTTCCTGTTCAAGTCCGACCCATCACAGGCGGATGAACACCGCGGGGTGGGGTGGGGAGCGGTTGGACGTGTCTCCGAGGGCATGAGGGGTCCTTCCAGGGTGCTGGTTTCTCGCCTTAAGTGCTGGCTACCCAGGTGTGTTCACTTTGTGGGAAACTCAGTGAGCTGCGCAGCGATTACTGGCGCACTTCTCTGTATGTGTGATAAAAATAAAAAAGCAAGACGGCCGGAGTGCCGGCCCGAGGCCCAAAGGAAACTCGCTCCGTTCCTGCAGCACCACACCACAGGGTCCGGGGGGCCTCCAGGTGACTCAGGAGGCAGACACGCAAAAGCGACTGTTCTGTAAGTCCCCGGCTGTGAACAGAACCCGCACTGAGTTGGGTTCCCCTGGAGCTACAAGAGCCACATCCCCTCCTGCCTCCTCGGAGAGAAACGTCTGTCCAGAGTTTAATGGGAATATCTGCCACTAACACGTGACTGATCAGAAGCCGCGTTGGGGCAGCCAGCTGGTTAGCAGTATCCTGTTAGTTAACATTCTACAATATGTTCAGTACGAACATAGAAGGTAGAATGGTATGGTTTGATTTTGGTTGTCATTTCACCACATGGACTGGTTTTCAGGGTTAACTTGGATGAAGGGTTCCACAAACACTAGACCTTGATCTCCCTCCCCACCTTCTTCTTAGAGAGTCCATGGGGCGTTGTAACAATTTCCCAGTGTGCAACAGGGCGAGGTGCAGACTGCCCCCGCACCTGGGCGGGAGGGAGGCCTTGCCGGGCCCTTCGGGACACAACTCGAAGAAATTCAAACCCAAAGCTAAGAGCAGTCACTGCTGTTGCTGCTGATCAGACTTAGTGACGTTTGCAGGCCAGAAGGGTCAGTGACCTCTGCACAGCCTCACAGAGAAGATAGAAAGGAAAATGGTGAATGTGTTCACTCCTTTGCATAAGCCAATTCTTTATTAAATGAAAGAATTTTGTTGGTTTCTTCCTACCCGCCCCTTTCCAAACTAATGTATATTGGCTTGGAGTGCTACTAAAAGCAAAAATAACCCTCAAGCGTATTCGACTTTGAACCACCTTTGCTTTCCTCTAGGTGACCTCTGAGTACTTTCAAGTCTTGCTTTTTAAGTTGGATTTTCTTTTAGGGTGGAAAAGAAACCATCCACACACAGGTCTGGTTGGAGAGAACATGGTTTAATTAAAGGCAAAGCTGATTTCAGCAGCTGCAGGTCTTGCACAGACAGACCAAACAAAACAGAAAACCAAACCAAAACAAAACAGAACACAAAAGAAGGCTTACTACACAAAACCAGCTTCTGATGAAGACTCTCCTCCCTCCTCATTACTCCACACTGAGGATGATAAGGCGAGGAAGGCGCCCCCAGAGTCAGAAAACATTCCGAACACCAAATGCTCATGCAGAAAGGGGGCTGCAGAGGGGACGTGGGTGCCCCTGGGAGCGGGTCGGCGAGCCTGGTCATCTGGTCTAGGGTGCGAGAGTCCGTGACAGGTCACACACTGGAATGTCGCAGCTGCCTGAATGTAGAGCTCACACGTACGCAGTGGGGCAGGGAGGAAGGGCGGGGGCTTGGGAGGCGGGGGCTGGAGAGAGGTGGGCACAGGGAAGGGGCGGGGGACAGCACAGAGGGTTTCATATTGCCATCGGGCTGGGATGCAGGAACGGGGTTCACCCTTTCAGACCTTCCCCCAAAAAGAAACAAAACAAAAAAACCCAAACACCATGTCAAACTGAAAGAGCAATGATGTACGCACAGGGGACTCCATCCACCCTCTCTGAAGAGCAAGGAGCACTGACCTCACCCCTTTCCCTCGCTGGGGCCGCCCCGGCTCCAGGGTGCCCGGGGCTCCCGGACGTGCTCTGCCCTGCAGCCGCCCCCCAGCTCTCACAGCCCACCTGACCACGCACACTCAGACGCACCACTCTCCCCTCCAGAGAGCAGGGGACGTGCGTGCGCACACACACTCACACGTGCAGAGGTGAGAACCCCGCAAAATGAACCCTACCACTAGCACAGCAATTGGACGTTTGGATTGTTTCCATAATTTCCCCTTGAAATATCACTTTTCCAGGAAACGACTAACAGAAACGCTGTCCTTCTGTTTCTACACAAGAAAAATTTCAGTCCTCTTTCCTCCTAATAAATACCAGGTAAAAGTTCGTTTTCCTGTCGTCTGCTTCTTCCAGAATGGACCTCGTCGTGTTCTCTTCTGTGCGTGGCGCACGCGCGTCCCGCTGCCTTGCGTTTCACCCTGGAGGTGGAGCTGGGGGCTGCGGCTGGTGCGGGCCGGCCCCTCCGTGGCCGCTTGGCGCCGCTGCCTCCTTCCTCTCCAGACTGTCTTTCGGGCCCTGGCTGCCGGGTCCCGGGTCCGTGCTGTCGCCGCTCCTCGGGCGATGTTGTGCACGTTAGGAACAGAAACAATTACTGGCGAAGAGCAAAGCGTAGAAAGGGATGGAGCAGGGAGGGGAGGGGAGGTGGTAAGTAGGATCGGGGCGCAGAATCCAACCGAACAAAAACGACCACACTGAGAGCTTCTACCCATCCAATGTCAGGCCACGAGTGGACTGGCCCGCCTTCCGTGACACTGCCTGCCCTGCTACCACAAAATGCACAGGAACCGAAGACGTTCATTGAGAATCCTGTAGCAGCCACCTGCTGGTCCAGCCCAGCACCACCTCCCACACTGCATCCTCCACTGGGGCTCGAGCACCTACAGAGCGAAGGGCGTTTCCTGCTGGAGTCTCCAGGCCAGAGGAGGGCCTCCCGGAACCTCCGAGTGGAAGGTGAGGCCTTGGGCTCGCCCTGTGGGACACTTCCACCGGCCGAGGAGGCCCGCTGCCCCATGCTGTCACCGCCGACCGCGCACAGGAGCAGCGACTGGGGCTCTCCTCGCTACACACTGACTAGAAGAAGCACGTCCGTGTGTGGAAGAATTCAGTGTGACTTGTTACTACTGAGAGAAATAACAATAATAAAAGATGTTGAGGAGTAATTTCAACTACATTCTCAGTCAGCAAAGCAATCATTAATGGATTCCTATTTTATTCCCCAAAGAAGGGAAAAGGACTGAGAAGTTCCCACTGGCTTCTCCCACCTGCCTTCCCTTCTCAGCTTTCACTTCCCACGTGGCTGGGGACATGCACGATGGAGAAGGTGAGCGGCGGCGCTACCAGGTAACTGAGCGAGACAAACAGCAGTTCCTCTCCCTCTGGAAGGCCCCGGGGGGCGGGGGGACGGAGCGTTCCCGACGGTGTTTCGTTTTGTTGCACTGCGGACATTTCGTGCACACTCAGCGGGCCGGTGGGACACTTACACCCTCTCGACGGCAAGGAGCAGAGGAGAGGGCTGCCACCTGCAGGGGCTGTGTGGGCCAGGCCTGCGTGCCCAACATGCCATGGTTTATGGAGCCTTCATTCCCAGGGTCGCCACTCTGGCCTCAGTGTGGAGGGTTCATGGTGCCTTGTCCCCGCTGCTGTTTCTGCTTCTGCTGCATTAACAGCTGCTCCAGAGCGGAAGGTCCAGGATGCATCATGGAACTGGACCAGATAGACTGAAAGACAGCCCAGCGCTTGTCAGCAGAGGTCAAGGGCCTGGTTGTCTGAAAGGGTCTGGTTCTCAATCCCAGCCAAATATAAAGGCACAACCTCCCAAGACCCCCACCCCCTAGAAAAATTCAGCTATTAGAAAAGGGCACTGTAAGGCTGTCTTAAAGACTAGATACCGTTAAGATTTAGGACCGAAAAGCTAAAAAGTATGTTTTATATTAAGTCTTTTTACTGAAAGTCAGCTCCATGTGGGACCACAGAGTATTTACTACTATATACTGTTCTTTTTCTTGTTTAGAAAAGGCTTAAATCAAACATCCCAAGATGAATCAGGATTTTCTTAACCTCAGAATGCAACTAGGTAGGACATTGGTGTCTCTGTCCCCCTGAAGATAATGCTTCGCCACTAATAAATTTGCAAATTAAAAACAAAATCCCATCAAGAACCTTACAAGGCAGACCGTGTCTCTAGAACTCTGCTAGACGTGTGCTGTTCATCGATCACCTCCGAGGGCCTCGGGGGCGAACCTGGCTCCTCAGGGAATGAAAGCAGAGACATGCCCGTGGTGCCTGCTCCTGTGGTGCACTTACCTTGAGGCTCTCCATGAGGACAGCGGAGGAATCCTCCATGGAGGGACCGTGGCCTGCCCAGGTGCCACTTGGAGTGCTGGTCTGATGCCAGCTGCTCTCAGAGGATGATGTTGCTGAGAGATAATCAATGCCAAACCCGCCCATGGCTAAGGGATGAAAAGAGATAAGAATCCAAGAAGGTGTTTTATCACTGCCAGGTGCCAAAAGCCAGGGAAAAACATAGCAGGTTATTTCACGTCTGCGCAGTCTGGGTCTCACCTGGCTTATCAGTTTTCCACCGATCTGCAGCCCTCCTCTCCCTGGTATCTGGAGTCCCGATGGGCCCGAAATTGGAGAATGGAACAGAATTATGGTTGTGTGTCGGAGGAGAGCTTGGCAGGCTGCTTGGGTTGGAGGAATGCGGAGACTGGCTGGCTGGTGTCGAATGATCTGTGAAATGACAGCAAAAGAGAGCATCGAGTAGTAAGTTGTTTCCCAAACATTCTAAGACCTAAAGTTTTCTACAGATAGGATCATTCAAACTCTACTGAAGTAACCACAGGGCTTTGGAGCAAAGACAAAACAAGGGCCCCAAAGAGGACCCTGCTAGATGCACGAAACATTTCACTGAATTTATCTAGGACACTCCCTGCCCTAGAACAGAACAGAACAGAGCGAAGCAGCGGACAATTCTGCCGCGTGCATGCACTACTGTGGCATGTCTGTTTCAGGTCAGGACTCCACTGGTATCAGGGGATGTTGGGGTTGGCCAAAAAGTCTGCGTGGTTTTTTCCGTACAACAGAACGCACATTTTTCATTTTCACCAGTGACTTGACCGATTTGGACATGGGGAGTATGCCAGCTGTCTCCCGCGTGGCGTGACGCTGATCGTTCTCAGTTCACGCCTCGGTCTGGTCGCCATCGACTCCAACTGGTCCACCAGACCGTGCTGCATCGTCCAGAGGGGCATCTCCAGTGCGACGCTTCGCAAACCACTTCCGACACATTTGATCATCACAGCACCTTCTCCACACACTGCACAAATCTTTTTTTGCTTTTCAGTTGCATTTTTACCTTTCTTGAAATAATAAGGCATACATAATGTGCTGGAAATGTTGCACATTTTCTTCCATCTTCAATATTAAAATGACTACACAAAAATTCACCAACTTTTTAAGTTTTCGTTTTTTTTAAAATGCATGCTGGTATGACAGTTGCCATAAGACAATCTAACAAAATTGTTTCGAATGAAGTTAAAGTCAACTAAGCGCTACTAGAGCCATCGTTCAGAAAAAACCAAATGAACTTTTTGGCCAACCCAAAAGAACTGCCTAACCTTAACAACTGCTGTGAAATCAGACTCCACTTATAAAACAAGCATTTAAAAAAACCTCTCCTTTAACAACTGCAGTTTTCCCCACAGAGAAGGAACACCTGCAGACAGAAGTAAAAAGCAGCTGCAACCCTTGCGACAGAGCCATGCGTTCCTCCCCGACCGCTCGGCCGGCGACTGCGCACTCAAAGAGGCGTCTGGGCATCTGTTACGCAAACCAGCCCATCGGCCTGTTTTTTTCTATTTTGTTTTTCACAAGTTACTTAAAAAAGTTGACCTGATGTATTTATAATTACAAAGTCATACGAACTCCATTTTAATTTGCCGGTGATGCCGGGTGTGTAACTGAAAGAGCAGTGCAAACCTGAGCTGGCAGGAAGTGACGGGGACCACGGGGTCCCTTCGAACAGGGAGTACAGCGACGTCTCCTGCGGGGCCATCGAGGGGTTCAGGTCGGCTTTGGAGCTGGCCGTCAGATTCTTCCCGTACACCTCGTTGAACATGCTGTTATTTGGGTATCTCTCCTGAAAGGCAGCGACAACCAAGTCACACGGACTCGCTCCAAGGAAAGAGACACAAGGGAATGCCGTAATTCTCCCCACAGATGCCTGAGACCGTAAGCCTTCTCAACAAGACAGATTTTGAAGGCTTTTATTTCTTTGAGTTTTCCTCTTAAATTCATTTCCCTATGCTTTCCCTCAACCCTTTATTTTGCTCCAACCTGTGCGCCTCACCCGTGTTAAAAAGTAGGAGTAATTTATTGGGCTACACAGAGCCTGGAGGACTTCAGCACGAAAGAAAAGGTAAAGGGTTCAAACCTGTGACATGCAAGTCTTTGGAGTACCCTAACCAGAGGGAGAGCAGGTAACACCCAGTGCCCAGAAGGTGCCCACACGCGCAAGAGGAACAGACGCACTGGAGGAGACCGGGAAGAACCCGAGAGCCCACGCTGACGGTGCAAAGCAGGGCTCTCGGCCGCATACCCACCTGGTTGAGAGAGAATCCGGTGAGGGACAGGAAAGAGGGTGAATGCGACATGAGCTCGGAGGGCTTCTCCAATAAGGATTTCTTCACGGTCCCAGAAAAAAAAGGAGTTCAATTATGCCTTCCGTTTCCTTAACGTGAACTTTAAGACACTATACAGTCAAGTAAAAGACCACCGTTTAAGCGTGCCTGCATCCCCCCACCGCACACGACCTAAGGCTCACAGGCATGAACGAGGGCCTGTTAAGACCGTGACCCCAAGGAAGGGCCAGCTGCTACGGCAAGTGCTGTGACCTCGCACAGAGACCCAGGCAGGGAAGGCCCTGGAGAACTCTCACAACAAGAGGCGGGGCTGATCGGGTACTGTTTTCTCCCCGTGTTTAAAACACGGCGAGAACGGCTTTAGAAAAGCCTTGCAAACCCGTGTGCCACTTTTCGTGAACACGGTCCCTAAGCAGCTCCACCTGTGGTTTGCACTGGGGTGGCAAAGGGAGGGTCATACTTTTGTGTATGTGAAACAGTTTATTCCTGTACCATTTGTTTATTCGTGTACGCCTGCTTTTACCCCACTCTGTATTAAAATAGTTGCTAAAGTCAAGCTTCTGTTTATTAGCTCTGAGAGAGTCATTAGGGAAAAAAAAGGTGGATCTGTGATGCTCACTGCCTTTGAACAGTTGGTCAAGAATGCTTTTATTAAACACCTACTACATGCAAGTCACTTTTACATACATATCATTAGCAATGTTAAAAACAGAAAGGTTATAGTCAAGGTGTTTAAAAACATAAAACACTGACACGCCCTTCCCCCACTGTTCCATGAGCTTCATTTCCTACGAAAGGAGCGAGCGCAACAGGAACTAGGGTTCAGGAAGCAAGGGGACGGAGACACGCCCGCCCGGCCGCCCCAGCAAGGCAGGCAAATGTTTAGAGACTGCAGCTTAGCCACAGGGCGTTCAGCACCCCTAGGTGCTGTCCGGGTACTACCACTGTTACAGTTTCTAGGGGGTTTTAGTTCTGCTCACTTGGGGTGGGGGGAGCGTGCAAGCTCTCTAGGGGCACTCATTCAGGCAAGCTCTTGAGGGAATGTCAAGTGCCAGGGACGGCAGCTTCTGCCACGAGCGCCATTCAGCTTTTATCCCGCCGGACACTAAAACCACTGCACCGAAATCTTATGTTTTCTTGTTCCATGTTTACGGGGGGGAAACAGCGAGAAATTAGAACTCAGACTGCTTTATGCTTCACTAAGGGATTGCTCTCTTGAAAATACATCATTGAGTCATAATACATCATAAACGTATCATTGAGTCGGGATTAAAGAAAACCTAGAACATTATTTCATTTCCCATTTTGAGTACATGAGAAAAAAAATCTTACTGCTCCTGAACAAGATTAAATGACACTGAAATCCCTGGGTCCAGACGGAAGTGCCACTGGAACAGTGAGCTCCTCTGGCAGCATCACACCCTGCGTGGGAGCAGCCCGGCGGGAGCCGGGTCCTAGCACGGCCTGGACTGGGGGTCTCGGGGAACAAGGCAGTGAGGGACGTTCCTGCCATATGAAGAGCAGCTCGGGCTATCGGGAAGAAAATTTGACATTTCCACGAAAAAGAAAAGCCCCCCCAAAAGAAGAAATCACCTATTCCAAAATCTCAGAAAAGCAGCTGGGTTAGAGCAAGAAGAATTATGTCAAATACATACAAAGAGGCTTCTTCCAGGAAGAGAGGCGAGAGGCCCCAGCAGAGCTGGGTAAAGATCAGGAGGGTTAGAAAAAATCAGCTCTTCCTCTTCCTCCAAGGCAGCCAGACTCTTTAACAGGTCCGGAGGAAGCAGAGGGGAGCCTTTGGGGTCCTAGTGACAGAAAGGATCACAGTGAGACGCACCGGGGACGAAAAAAGCACTAGGGAGTAGTAGCAAGGTTAGGGGGAGAAGGCAACTAAAGCCGAGGAGGAGGAGGAGGGAGGAAGTAATCAACAGTGAGGCAGTGTTATGCAAAGAGGAAAAGGCACTGAAACACAACACAAAGCAGAAATATTGACACGGGGCAGAACAGAAAAGGTGAGGCGGCCAGTGAGTAAAACAAGGCAATGGAGCCAAGTGACGGGCTTACCTTGTGCTAACAGACAAGTTACAAACACGTACCCGCATCTCTGGGAATAAAAAGGGCAAGGAAGGGGCCTCCACTATCAAAGGCTGGCTTTGTTCCTCTCTGAAAGCTACTTGCTTAAATGTGCAGCAAACCTATTTCTAAACTGAGACGGTTCAGCACAGTGGAGGGGAGCTATTTCAGAATCCTCTAACGTGCTGCATCACGACTGCTCTGCCAGACCACCCGAGTTCAGAATCTGCACCGGAACTCTTCAGCTCCTCACACTGAACGGACTGTGCAGCTGTGAAGAGCTGCAGCCGTGGCTCAGCAGCATCTTGTAACACGAACGGGTCACGGTGGCCTTTATACAACCAGCCCGAGAAATTCAAAAGACACGCAGCCCCACACCTGTCTGTGAAGTGCCCAGGGAGAGGAAAAGACACACACCTCAAATGGCATCCTAGGCACAGGGTCCTGCTCTGGACGGAAGACACCTGGTGACCGCTTGCCCCTGCGGTCCAAACTTGCTTGCTGGGCCATCACAGCTCTGTTATCAGCCACGCTGTAGGAAGAGTCCCAATAGAATTCTGGGACCTTGACTTCTGAGGGGTTGTGGTTATATGGCTCCATGGGAAAAGGCTTCATCTTTTTCTCGAGAGGCTGCTGCTGCATCACAGGCGGCTGCAATGACGGCTCAAACAGTTTTATGGGGTCTTGGGTCTGAAGGTAGTAGGGCTGTTTCACAGGCATGATTTTCCCTAATGGGCCTTGAACCTGAGGGGGATTCCACAGCTGTTTGGAGGCATCTGCCTGTTGATACTAAAAAAGAGATGCCTGTCGTCAGGACGAGGGTAACTTGCAGTGTCACTTACACTAAGTACTCAGGAATCACAGAACAAACTCAAGGGGTTTTACCATCAACGAAACTCTAGGCTGGGGGCGTCAAACTCATTTTCCCCAGGGGGCCACATCAGCCTCGTGGTTGCCTTGTGGTTGGCTGAATGTAATTTCAGCTCCTTAGCAGTCGTACAGTCCTAAAATTATTTCGGCCCTTTGAAGACAACTGCGAGGCTGATGTCCTCCCCACCCCCACCTGTGACAATGACTTTGACACTCCTGCTGTAGGCAATGCAGCAACTTCCTTTACCCTTCAGGCTTTGCGACACACAGAGCCTCCTGGGTACAGGTTGCAGGCACTGAACTCACGTTCTGCCTTTCAGTTCAATTATTTAAGAGGTTTAATGAGTGTGCGTGTGTGTGTGTGTGTGTGTGTACCCCTCTGGTTTCAAGTGCTGTGGGATGACGATATTCACGATTGGTGTCATTCTTAACACCTCATCAAGATTATGACTCTACATTCCTCCTACAGTTTATCTTCACACGGGAAATAAATATTTACAGAAATCCTTTCCACTAAGACTGACAAGTAGTAGCAGCTAATAGTAGTGAAGGTCTACCATCCTCTACAAAAGTACAAAGGAAAACGCTGGAACTTCCCTAATCAGCGAGGAGAACACTGCCACATTCTCGTCACCGCTACAAGTCTGAGAGCTGCGGGACCTGCACGGGGAACTAGGGTTTTTAACAAACTGAATACCAGCCAATCTCAGCCTCCCGCTCCTTCGGATGCTGACGGCACCCACACTGCCACCTACCTGCTGGAACCCAGAGTGGTGAGGAGGGCTTTTCCCCAAAGCTGGCACAGCTTTCGTAGGGGACTGTTGTTGCTGAGCTAGAGCTTGAACCTGCAACTGGCTTGCAGACTGTGCTGTTGGCTGAGCTGGTAGAGATGAAAGGGGTTGCTGGGAGGGCGGCTGTGGTTGTTGAGGTCCCTGGTTCATTGGCCCTGGTCCAGAGGGCCGTTGCTGGCTGTAAGGAATGTGGGACTGTTTCCCAGCTTGCACCTGGTTTCCTGCTGGAGAGTGAGCTGTAGGCTGAAGAAAGGTTCCTGGGACAGAAACACCAGCTGGGAAGGTGTAACCTGAGCCCATAGAAAATGCCACAGGAGGGGGGATAACATATGTTGGGGGCGGGAACCCTTTAAAATAAAAGAACACAGCTTTAGTTCCAAAGAAACAGAAAAAAAAAAGACAAGAATAAATTTGGGTTGGGGAGGAGGTTTTCTCCTAAGTTACAAAAGGCACAGATTGACCATCAAGTAAGACTGAGCAAGTGAAAATCTTGAATTTCATTTCAATAATTAAATATAGACTACTGACTGCTACTTCTATCCACTTAACTGGAGTGTTCTGCACATCATGTTTAGTGGTAGGAACTCCTTCATGGTAACAAACATGTCCTTGTATATAAACTACCAGAGAAGTGGTTCCAAACAATTTCATAAGCATTGGGGAAAACATGCCACTCTGACAGAGCATAAATGACTCGGTGAATGGGCAGAAACTCCTACGCAGAGGGACTGAGGAGAAGAAATCGTAAAACACACGTACCTGGCCGGCTGGGGAGAGGAGGGAAGGCTCCAGGGTGATGAATGGGGATGAACTGGGAATTGCTTGCTTGACTTGGAGTTTGAGTTACAGGTGTTTTCCTGGCTTCAGACACTGGGGTCTTTCTCAATTCCGCCTGGGATTTTACCTGTGACCAACAGAAGCGAAATTATGATATTCTGAAACCCAAACGTGTCGGAAAGAAGCAACTACTCCAAGAAAAAAAGTATATGTTGAAGATACTTAAATTCACCTAAATTAAAAAGAGAAAAATCAAAACAGATCATTTAATTGCCAGTAAGACATACGGGCTTAGTTCTGCTAGTATAATTATTTTGCCCTCACAAAATCATAAAAACATCAAATATGGAAAGGGCCTGAGAGCTGATTTGATTTACAATGAGACACCCAATGCCAACAGGCTAAAAACTTGCCTATGATCTGAGGGTGCCTATTACAGGCCCCAGTGCCCTTTACACACTAATTCATTAGGTGACGCACATAAATTAGGAATTACTAATGACCCACTCTGGCCCTCAGCTTGATTTCATCTGGACAGCCTGAAGGGTGTCAGCCAGGCGTCCACCCTCCACCCTGAGGCTGCACCCCACCCCCAAACACATAAGGACTGTTTCTAACGAACAGGCCCTGAGATCCCAAGCATGGAGCCAGAGAGGAGTGGATGCCACCTGCACTGCTCAAGACGAGTGCAGTGAGGCGACAGACAACTCCAGACGAGGGGCAGAGGGCGGCAATGCACTGACTACGGCCAGGCCCCCTGAATCTCATCACCAGCAGGCAGGCTGCAGAGGGGAGAGACAAGGAGGAGGCGTTCTTTCCAGTCTGGACCTTGCTGGGCCACAGTCACAGAGAACGGAGGAACAGCGGGCAGGAGGCGCTGGGCCCTTTACCCCCAAAACACTGATCCCTCAGCTGCATAGTTCACTTAGGATTTCCCCGGCCCCTCTCTCTCTCTCGATGGCTTTTCTTAATTTCTACCATGTTTTCCTCTCCATTTCTCCCCCAACTAGTAATCTTAAAATATTCTTATTTCTCCCTTCCCCTCCCGCCAAAAATCCTGCAAGAAAATACACGGGAGACAGTGTATTTGCAAGCAGCCTTCAATAATGTACGGTTCCTTATTTATACCTACTGCAAATATATTTGCCAAAATGTGTTAACAAAACAAATGGCTTTTACTCGAAGATTAATGGTATTAATAAAAGTAGTGAAAGTAAAGACCCCTTTCCTTCTATACAGAATCATCTGTATCTCTTTGGAAAGGTGTAAAAAACAAAGTTGAAAATAACTGAGCCATGTCCTTGCCTGGGCCCTGGCTTTACGACTTCCCTCCAGCCCGGGTCACACCGAAGCGTGAATGGTGCTGCTGGCCAGGACGGCTGCAAACGTCAGGGAAGAGAGCCTCGTCTTTCTCTAAGAACATATTTTATCTTGTACAGTGAGTCTAATAAAACCCCCAAGACTTAACATACTCTTAGCTCTACTGGATCTACCAAAGACCCCACATTTCTCATTACAGCATTAACAAACGGCAATACTACGTTCCAGAGAAAATGCAAGTCTTTGCAGAACCGACGGCTCTGCAACTAGACGTTTCAAACCACTGAAATGGAAGAGAACTAATAAAAGTGCCGAACAGGTTAAGACTCTCTCACTCACATGACCATGCCCAGCAGTCAGTGAAGCAGCCACCTACCACCTCAGCTCTTTACAGGACCTCACCGCGCAGCACTGAGAATGCAGTCCAGCGTGTAGGACCGGCAGTCCTCAAGGCGTTAGAACAAAATGAAAACTCTTGCCTTTCGTGTGAGCCTTCCTCTACCTCCTTTGTAGTTCACATACAGCTTACCTGCACTGCCACACTCTGCTTTCCTGTTTCCTGCAACTTTTCTAAGGTGCATTTCTTGGGTTCTGTTTTCCTCTTGTTGTTGTCCTTCTTTCCATCATTCTTAGTTACAGTTACTCCTTTGCTACAGTCCCTTCTCACCTCTTTGGGAGGAAAACTTCTTCCTTGGTCTCTGTTCACTTCTCGTGGCTTAATGTTCTCTTTGAAGGTGACCACGGGTTTCTCTCCGGTGTCACAGTTGTTGCTTAGATTCCGGCCCGTGGACAGCACCGATTTCAGTCCTGGGTTCCCATCCGTGGCCAGCGACTCTATCACGGATGTCTCTTGTAGGCTGAGGTTCTCTTTGGCTTCACTGGGGTCTTCCAGTATTAACTCTGGGATTTCTGTGATAAACAATAATTTCCCTACCTCATTTTCACACTGAATCAGCCTAAAAAAGTAAAAATAAATCCATATATGAACATAATCCTAAAAAACAGCAACAACTGAACTGCGTATGGATCCAACAGTCAAACCATTCCCAGCCCTGAACACTCAGACTGTAAGAATGCGGATTCGGGTAACACCGCGAGTAGTTATGCAGAAACTCAACTCCCAGCACCACACGCAGCATCACGACACATTTCCATGCCCCTTTCCCGTTTTTCATAAGCACAGCTATGATCACTGAGCATGCTTTAAGCACAGGTACTGGATGAGGCCCGTGAAGCAGCTATCTATAACTACCTAGAACTCCTACTGCACAGGTGGGAAACTGAGCAAAGAGCTAGAAGTTCATTCAAACATGTAACCACTCAAGTGCTCACAGTGTGACAGGAACCTCAATACAAAAATGACTACGAGATAGTGACTGACCCTAGAGAGGTTACGATCGGCTGGGGGAGTCCCAGGACACAGACCTGGGGGAACAGCAGAACTAGAACTGAACTCGAATCTGCCTGACTCTAAAACCTGTGCCCCTCCACTACACCAACCACCCCGCGTGCTCTGTACTTAGCCGGCCACGGGCCCCATCCTGGTCAGTGCTGACTGAAGCCGACAGCGTGCCCTGTCCACACGAAGCACCGTGACTGCGTACGGACAACTCAGCTGCTCTCACTGAGTCGCACACATGTTTATAGATCAGAGCAGAAGCTCACGATAAACAAGGGAGCAAGGCCAGTTTCTCTACAACAGACAGTGTGATGGAACCAAGAGAAGTTTCAGAGTACAATTAATGATCACTAGGGTCACAATTTAGTTTACCGATGTTTTGTCTTAAGCGTTCGTAAGCAAGGGCATCACACCAAAGACTAAAACACAGGCGGGGGTTCGTGGGTAGCCAACGAGGGTACCTCGGCTGGTTGTCGGCGATCCACTTGCCCACAGAGATCAAGCGCTGCTGCCGTATCTGGCGCTGCTGCCCCTCTTTGTCTCCTGTGATCCCCTGGTGGCCTTTGGAAAAATCCAGGTTCCTAAAATTGATATAAACAAGTTACAAAAAGCTAAACTGCTAAAGATGTTTTCCAGGCAACCAAGTTCACCTAATGAACTGAAACGGCTTCAGATTTTCCCATACAGGTTGGACAAGTACTTGATGTAATCTACTCCATTTATTTGAATTTACATTCCCAAAGATTTTAAAAGAAATCCAGTGAAGTAAAGCAGAAAAAACACTATGCCAAAAATAAGAAAGGATAGTAAAAAGAGGAGAGTTAGTTCCTTCTGATAAGTCCTGAGAAGGTTTCACAAAATAGTTGATATTTGAGCTAGAGGCTGGTCAGTTACCAGTGAGTACTTACAGGTTCGTAAGGCAAAGAGAAAGAGGGAATGTTCTAGGCAAAGCATGAACAAAGTTTTGGATGAATAAAAACAGAGCTATTCAAGAAGACAACAAAGTGAATGTATAGTATGTTTAGGCAGGTGTTGGTGAGGAGGAGGGCAGAAGTGGAAAATGGCTGAAAAATTAAGCATTGCTCAGTGACAGAAAATATACTGAAAAACTAAGCATCTGGACAGCGCACCACTGGAACAAGTGTTTCCATATTAGCAATGAGGCATCCATCATCAGGTCTGTACTTTAGAAACAGAATGTGGAAACAGGGCAGAAATAAACTACAGAAAGAAAGGGACCCTCAGCAGAGAAGTTGATTAGGAAGCCTTTTTACTCCAGGTAAATGGTGATAAAAGCCTGAACTACCAGGAAATAAACAGGAGGAGTTAGATCTAAGAGGCCTTTCGGACAATGAATTACAAAGACTAGGTGAGAAAGATGACCATTTATAAGAAGCTTTCAGATTTCTAGCTTGTTCGTGTAGGTGGGTAACGAACGGCACACAGAGAGATATTGAAAGATCACATTTTACTGACCAAATAGGAAAATATTAGCTGATTTTTGGTCATGTCAAAGTTTAAAATGAGAGATCAGATTTTTAGAAATATGAGTCCAAACTCTGAAGTCAGAACTGAAAATTATGGACTTCGTACGCACGAGATGAAGGGTCATGACGAAGGGACGGACCTGATCACCACCGAGAAGGCAGACAGTGGGAGGGAAGGGCCAGGGAAGAGCCGTGGCGAGCGGCGACATTCCCAGCAGGAAGTACGAGAGAAAGAGGGCCAGAGGCCGAGTCTGCAGGGCAGAAGGAGGAGACTGATGTTGCAGAGCTAACCAGAAGGAGGTTTCGTGAAGGAAAGTGACCAACAGAGGCATGCTAAAGACAATTAAATAAGGTGAAAATAATGAGGTTGAGTGTTTACTACTTAGAAAGAATACGGCATAGTCAATTGTCACTAGGCCAAAAGGAAGTAAGTGGTTGTTAAAAATAAATTAAGATACTGACAATACAACACAGGGAGAGATGGACAGATGGAGCCAAGTTTTTTTTTTGGTGGGGGGGGGGCAAGAAGGAATGAGATCAAGGACTCAGATGAAAGGGTTAGACTTGAAAAGGAGTAAGAAATTATTCCCCTGAAAGAGGAGGAATAGAGACAAAGAATGATGGGAAGAACAGACTACTTTATTCCTCTATTAACATAAAATATGTCAAGCAATATCCTTTTGTTTACATCTGGTTCCCATTTTTCAGACTTCCCCCTAATTTCAAGAAAGGCACAAAAGTAAATAAGTATCAGTCAGAAGAAGCAATTTTCCTTTCCTTTCCTCCACATTTTAAAAGCACTTACTGTTGGTATTACATGGGAAATAGAGGCGCAACATATTTAAATCCATTTTGCACTGGTGACTTTCACTATCAGTTCATGTTATGAGAAGACAACAACGCGGAGAAAGATCAAAGGCACTCCTCCGCCCGAGCCCGATTCCTGCTCACTTTAACACTGCGGTCACCAGCAATGACTCCACGTCCTCCTGCTGCCACCCACCTGAAAGAAGGTCTCAAAGCCAAGAATCCTTGTAACTCAAACTCCTCCGGAAGTGGTGTTGCTAGAGAAGGGTAGAAAGCAAGATTTGTAAACATCTGGGTTAAAACACTGTTGTTTAGAATACTGCTTACTAAGGGGCGGGGGGCGTCTTCTATACAGGACTGCATGATGTTCATAGTTCCCTGCTCCTCTTTATACTAACAATCCCGATAAAACGATGGACCTGCCAAGGTCCTGCACGTGGCCTTCGGACCCTGAGTGTCATCCTAATCCTCACCTACTCCCCCATGCCTAGGAGGAGGGTAGGATGGCTTTTTCTCAGCAGTCTTAAAGGTTCACAAGCCTCAGACCCAGTAATCCCAGAGTAGAGTACTGGGTAAAAAGACTGACACCACCTGGGAGAAACCAGACTTTTGGGCACTACCCCAAACCTACTGAATCATAACCTGCATTTAACAAGGTCCCAGGTGACCGATGTGCAAATCTAACACTTAAAGAGCACTGACCCAATGGAAGAAAAATAATCAGAAAGGAGTCAACTAAAGATTGTTCAGAGTAGAATTACTTATAATGGAGAAATTTCTAAAGCAAACGGATAATGATTAAATAAATCATGGCACATCCACATCGTAGAATATTATGCAGCTGGTAAAAATCGTGTTTCAAAATGTTTCAATGACAAAGGAAAATGCTAACAACATGTTCACTTTAAAAAAGCACAGAGCTGAATTTGACACCAAACACACACTCTCCTGCAGGCTGTGTGCGTGCACACCAAAAAAGGCCCACAGAAAACACACTACCATGCAAACAGCACGAAGTGTCTCTCTCTGTGTGAGAGCCGTGGGTGACTTGTGTTCTTCATGTTTGTACGTCCCAAATGTCTTATGGTACGCAGGTACTACTCTGACAGAGTGATGCTGCGCACACTGGTTTTTTAACCTTAAACAGAAAGGAGGAGGAGGGCGGAAAGCACCTGACGGGGTGCACTCTCCGGACTCCTGTTCGGCCGCAGCTGACCGGGAGAACAAGCTGCTGCAGGAACGGCCCTCTGGCTCCTCCCACTCCATCGGAGTCGAGTTCAGAGTCGCTTCTGAGATAGCGAACTTTACAAACGTGTGAGAAGAAACCCGTTTTTCTCTGGCCCGAAGCCCACCATTAGCGATGAAGAACAATCTCCACCACACCAGACTGAGCTGGCCCTTACCGTTAGTGCTCGAAAGATCCTCTTCATGGGGGTGGAAACTATTCAGAAGAGAAATGAGCCAGGGCCAGATACTGTAAATGAGAGAGAGTTCAGACGTTATTGTTGCACAAGAGAAACCAGAACACTAATAAGCCATGAGAACGTTCCCTATGGGGCCTAGACTTCATGTGTTTTTTCCCTTGCTTCAGCATTTTGAAGACTGTATGACTCCCTAAAACACATTCGCACAGATTCCTAGATAAAAAATATTCAGGTACCAGAAGGGTCAAATTTCCATGATAGAGACTTACTACTGCCCACGTTTTCCAAGCTCCCAGTGAAAACGGTTTTTCAGTTTCAAACGCCAAGAACCGTCTTTACTGAGAAAACGCCGACCGGGGAAACGGCACCTTCAGGCTCCCGCACACGCGTCCGCGGTGCGGCCCACTGCTCGCTCTTCACCCGTGACGGGGCGTGGTCGCCGGGGCCCGGCCTCGGGCTCCAGTCCAAGCGACGGCCACGCACTTCTCTTCACCCACACACTCACTCACACACTGCTACAACACCCTTACCTCTAAGCCCTGTTTCCTAATACACAGGCAATTTGTGTGAAAGTTTGCAAAATATTTAAAAGTTAGTAATTAATAATAAGGTAATATTAACCTTTCCTTGGAATTTTAACCTCTCACCAATGTCGGTGAAAGTGTGACTTAAAAAAAGGCCCGGGCAAGGCGCCCATGAACCGGATGCGAACCACCCCATCACGGAAACAACCTGGAGGCTGACAACTACTCTAACAGTTGTGCACTTTGAAATATGGGAACATGCTGCTTAAAAAAAAATACAGAAGCATATATAGAGAAAAAATAGGGAAACAAACACTTAAAAATAAACGCCTGCAACAAGCCTTTGGGGATATAACAAATGATGAGAGACGGTTGAAAAAGGTGAATAACCTAAAAAAGAGTATCAGACAAGAACAGCAATGCCTTTACGCGACAGACACGAGGCCTCAGGAAAACAGGCTGCTGGGAAACTGCGTGAACAGACGGCGATGATACACCGCCCTCCCCACTCCGGGTTACTCAACTGTGACTCTGCTTTCTACAGGGAGGAAAAACCCATCAGTACTTCACAAGAAAAAACAAGTTTTAGAAATGGTAAAGGTCCATGAAGATTATTTGAATATATGTAAAATTTTGACTTCACAAAAGGAAAAGAGATTTTTTCATCAGTTAAAAGACATAAATAGTGATTACTTTAATGTGTCAAACATATAAGGAAAATCTCCAGTTTTAGAGAAATACCCTGCACTGGTCTCTTTCAAGTAAGCTGAAACATAATTTAAGCTAGAATGAAACACCTGCAAGGGCAAGTCTAGAATTCCTGCTACATCTTACAGGAGGGAGGGGGAAAGAGTAAATGACAGGAAAGGAGAGAAACAAAGGTTTGTGCATAAAACTATTACTCACAGTGAACATGCTTTGCCGCGGTAAGAAAGGGGAGTGCACCGAGTGGACCAAAGGGTCACTGTGCAGGCACGGCACCACGAGTTTCGGGTTCTAAAGTACAGCGGGGCGGAAACTACACAGCCTCTGGGTCGGAAGTCGAGCCTGAAAGTGCGCACCACTCACAACGCCGCACGGGCACAGAAAGGGGGCCTGTGGAGTGCTGTGCTGCACCACCAACCTCCACTCACACGGTCTGTCTGGAAAGGCAGCTTGCAGCCAGGTGTGCGAGGGAAAGGGAAAGAGAGCTAAGTAGAGGGATCTCAGGGTTTCACATGTAGCTGGGACATTTCCTAGGCTGTGACGTTGGTCAAAGTGTAGATGCCGAAAGCAGAAATTTCACAGAGATTCTCCTTATATCCACCATGAAAAGATACAGGGAAGGAACTTCCTATTCACTGCAAAGCCTTATTGAAAATATTTCTATAATCAAAGGTAAACTGAAAGCTTTGATTTGTCACTCTCAAATCAATAGTTCCTAAGAATTATCAGAATTATTCTGCGTAGAGATTACGGAGAAAATGGTGGTAACCAAAATCTTCCACACTTAAACAAATATAACCCTAGTTGGGTGTTACTAGAGCAGAAGACAATGGGACAAAGCAAAAATCTCTTGCCTTTGATTCCTAAATAGAAAATTGGGGCATGCTGTGGTGGATGAGAAACAAGCTGGTTTTATTTCCATTTCATTCTGGAATGTGAAAAATGCCTTTTCCCCAGGACGGCAACCAGGGACAGGGGGAAAGCAAAGAGTCAGAAATCCTTAAGACTGTGCCTCACATGAAAAATTCAAAACAAAGGAGAAGTATACAAAGAGGTCTTCAGTTCAATTTCCAAAGAGTGGGCAGGAAACACAGTCTTCCATTGTTCAGAAGTTGTGTGTTAGAAGGTGGCTTCTACATATCGATGACTATCAAACAAACAGAGAGCAGAGGCCAACACGAAACTCTAAGATACTTACTACTGTCTTTCATCCACCACTGCCTCCTGGAAGACCCTGGGTCTGAGTCTCAGCCAGTCCATGGAGACCTTGACCGCGGGAAGGGGGTAGGCATTGTAGGATTCCTCCTGAGACTTGTTCTGGAGAGGACACTTGCACAGGATGCCAAGAAAAGACACTTAAAGAAAAAATGTATTCAGAAAGCATAAGATACTTGAAAGTGTTTATCAGTCCAAATTAAAACGTTATTATGAGCTTATGAGCCTTCTGCTATATTCTACTGAACACTTAAGTATCTTACAGCTTCTTTCTGAAGAAGGCATTTTCTTTCCCATGTTAAAAATTGTTACAGATACATTGACGATGTCAACAAAGAACAGAATTTAGGCCTCTTGAGTCAATGTTAAGACAAACAGGACACTTCTTTACATGTCACTAATGCTTTGTTACAATGACGAAAATGCCTAAGGTTATGCTTTCCAAAGAAGATGGACCACAAAGTAGAATGATTTAATACTCACTAAAGAGGGCCAACAACTGTGTCCAACACAGCTGCTCATCTTGGCTGTAACTATGTTGTTCTGTTTCATTGCTAAAGTCACGAAGGTGATGAAGTTGAAACAGGTTAATGACAGTGACATGAACTAACTGCTGAGAGTTGAAAGCTTTCTGAAATAGCAGCCTCTGTAAGAGAGAGAAGACAGGAACACTGCATACGCTGTTATCCAGAACAGGAGCTGTCTTCGACGCAGGAATTAAACTGGCAGTCTGCATTTAACAGTCAAGTTACAGATGAGTAAACCGTTCCACTGTTAATCCCAGCATTTTAATCGAGTCTAATGTGGTCTGACGGTTCTCATGCTGAGATGTTTCTCTTCACCTTGGAAGGATTTAACCCAGACACCAATGAGCTGTTTTGAGATGTTTTTCACAATAGTTTTCTCCCTTAAGTAATTATCTATTTTTTAATATGATCTGAGGAAAAAAGTTTTGGGCATCCATCAATAAACTCATATACCTTTTATCCATTAGAAGCTGTTTTTTTTTAAGATTTTATTTATTTATTTTTAGAGAGGGAAGGGAAGGAGAAAGAGAGAGAGAAACATCAATGTGCAGTTGCTGGAGGTCATGGCCTGCAACCCAGACATGTACCCTGACTGGGAATTGAACCTGTGACACTTTGTTTCGCAGCCTGCGCTCAATCCACTGAGCTACGCCAGCCAGGGCTAGAAGCTGTTTTATAAGAGATGTATACACACTAAAATATTCAATTGGAACCAATGACTAGAAAGTACATGTACATAGTGAGAAAGAAAACTTCAAATGAAAAGACTAGAAACATATGTTTTTGAACTCCTGGTACATAATGTATGACTTCCAAAATTTGTCATAAAATTTTGTAACAGGAAGTAAACAACACACTAAAGCAATCATTAATATATACAGCCACCTCTATAAGTTATTACACTGACACTTTCCCCTATACGGAGGGTGCACACAAGATCTTCATCCTCAAATCTTCCACGTAATAACCGTATGTTCACAGTGACCTGCTAACCAGCACGACGAGGAAGGATTCACCAAAATGCACTCACATGGTGGCATCTACTTAATCACCCTTCGAACCACACAAGTTCCTAACGAAGCTGATAACAAAGATGATATCCTAGCCATAGCCAATCTCCCTCCCAAGGAACTATTTGTGGAGTCAGTGGGGATTCACTGCCTTATGGTGGAAATAGATAACCTATCTGTAATTCTACCAGCAGTGACAAGAATTCCACCACCTCAGAAATCTGGAGATCCCTTTAGAGTTTTTTCCCTATACATAGTGTTAAAGAAGGTGAACTAGCCACGGTAAGTTCTACGATTCATTAGCAAGGTGTTCCACATCATCACTGGAGGGAGATACAGTTCCACTCCACTTTCCCACTCCTCCCCCGCAGGCCTCGCAGCCTCCTCGAGGCTGCCGTTCCAGCACACGCGTCCAGACTGCTCGCTGCCTTTTGCAAAAGCAGCCAGCATTCTCCTCCCTTCCTCCAGAATGTCCTGAAATCCTAGCTCTTCCCCAGAATCTTCCTACAAAATTTCTCTTTCAATCTCTATGTTCAATCTTCCAGATAAGCTGACCATTAACACAAATGCATAATACTGGCATAAAATGAGAATATGAATTTATTTTTTCAAAAAGCATTTTTTCTTACAATTGTAATACAGCAATGCATGCCCTGCATCTATAAATCCACATTTATACAGAAGGCAATGTCCTACTGAGCAGAGTTCCAGCCCTTTAAAGGATTTTCCAGTGTAGGCACAGAAGTTAATACCCATGGGCGCGGCCTGGTACTAGCAAAGGTAAGTTCATGAAGGCACAAGGCTGTGTCTTCTTCTCTCCCTTGTCTCTCCAAGGGCCCAGAAGAGTGTGTTGCACACAGTAGGTACTCAATAAATACTTAGTGAAGGAATAACTCACAACTTTGGAGGTAAATGTGTAATTATTGGATTATAACTTTATAACACTTGGGACTGTGCTGCAGTGAGTAGAGACTCCCCCGGGACAGAGGCAGGTGGGAATGGATGTACTGCCACTGAAAGGCACTTTCAGCAGTGGCCGAGGAAGACCCTGACCTAAGTACCTGTAAGAAACAGCACTCACTTAACGGCCACAAGAAGCCTTGCACCTCAGCTCCCACCCCAGGTCCTATCCCCCAGGCCTCAGTCCCGCAGTGAAGCCCAACCTGGTGAACGTGTCTGCTCAGCAGCTAAAGGCTGCTAGCCAGACACACCGAAGTTTACACTAATTACCCACAAATACTTTAGAAATACTTTTGAATATTTACTCAACAATGCTAAAATTTCACACCAACAATGTTCTCCTGCTATTTCAGTACTGGGTAAGGTTTAAAACAGATCTGCCTCGTACCATGTTTAACTTCAGCGTGTAGGAATGATACTTCAAAGCGTATTTCAGCAATTGCCCACATACGCCCACCAGAACTTCACCAGAAACACATATCTGAAGAGAACATTAGTGTTTGAGGTGGAACCAAATGCAAAAGTGACTAGATCCTAGACTAGAATAACTTGAGGAAATCTCATTAGGATAGGCTCCCCTTCTTCCCCATTTAGGGAGTGCACCTTTCACAGAACCAGAGGGCCGGAAGCAATCTCAAGTCTTCTGGTCCAATTCCCAGATGTTTTAACAGGGCTACACCTAAACCATCCAAGATGCCTGTCAATCTGACTTTAAGGTTCTCAAAAGACAGAATCCTTAGCAACACCCTGCCTATTTCTACTTAAACTTTTGTTTATGACTTATGTATGTATGTATGTATGTACTTTTTAGAGAGAAGGAAAGGAGGGAGAAAGACAGGGAGAGAAACATCCATGTGTAGTTGCCTCTCGCGCACCGCCTACTGGGGGCCTGGCCCACAACCCAGGCACATGCCTGACCAGGAACAGTCCACTGAGCCACACCAGCCAGGGCTCTACTTAAATTTTAAGATTTAATTTTACTTCTGACTTCAGGAAAGACAAAAAATGTTATATTAAAGTAATCCTTCACATATCTGAAAACTTATAACGAAGGTATTTAGACTTGTTTGTCCTTTCCAGGGCATTACAAGGTTAGGTGCTGCTTTGATTCACCTGACTCTATAAATCATGGACTCGGTTTACACAGGCCACCAAAAGAAGCAGCAAACAGCAGACAACTCTTATTTTAGAAGCGTCCTTTAAAACCAACTATTTCTATTACAGCTATTTAGATAATCCTTAAAAAAAGTAGGAACTAAAAAATGATTATCTGTAAGAATGATTTCACAATGACTGTATTTGGCCAATGTATGCCTCAGTCATTACTAAGTTCTACAGTCTCTGGAGTGTGAAGCTTTTATAATATTCATAAAACTATAAAGCATTATGGGAAATTCCCAAGTATACAGGATGCCCAGAAGTAACCAAGAAATGAAAGATGTCCTTTCAGAATGTCTTTTTACTGCTGATCCCAGTGACTGAAACAATGACAGATACACAAGTCAAATATTTGTTGAGTACATGAATAGAAATAAAGGTTAACACTTAATTTTCATGCTTCCCATATTTTACATATTATGCTATGTTTAAGTTGCTAATTTAATATGCTAACAAGATCATTTTCATATATGCAAATAGAATAAAGGTTACTTAGTTTATTTACTTATATAAGTTAGTAAACTATGTATCTGTTGAACAAAATTTTTCATTCGTTTTCTTCAAACTACTACAAATCCTGATGGATCAAAGTACAACAAGAAAAATGAGCTTGATTTGCAGAATGGAAATATCTATAAAATAGGTAACAAAACCGTATCCAGAAATATCTAACCCATCAAACGCAGTATTTTCAAAATTGAGGAAGAAATATGCTTGGTCTGAGAAAGAAGGAGGAGGAGCCATTTCTTCCCACTTTGATATTTTTTTGTCAACTGGCAGATACTTAGTCCACCATTGCTATACGTATTTGTTTATAGGAGGGCACCTTAGTTTAAATTAAGGGGATGCGGCATGCAAAAATTTCATATTTAATTTCAAAGTGAATTTTTACCAACAGTTCACAGTTAAGTAATGATATGAAAACTGGGAGTCGTCTTCCCCCGAATTTTATGCTTCCTTATACAAGACAATACATTCTGTTCTTGAAATCTAACCTTAAATTGTTCTTCCAATTTTTCTCGAAGAGGGCTCAACTTTTCCAAGCTCTTACTCAGGTACACATGACCGTGGAATTTAATAAAGGCCTTGATGAAGTCAGAAACGCCCCATTTGGTTTTCACCTCATCCCGGCTGAAATGAAAGAAAAACTTCCATGAATCTTAAGCAGTAAAATGGCTACAGCCTCTTCAAGGAGGCTTCAGTTTGCACGAGCACATTGCTTGAGCACCTGGAAAGGATTCTGCATCTCACTGACTTTTCAACCGCAACACGCTCAGATTCAGCAGCCTGTACTGCTCTACTGGGGACGAACTGGTTGCTACTTGGGTGAAACTCAGTTGACAGCTACACACAAAGCTACTATTTATTACTGTTTACACATCGGGCACATACGAGAGAGGCACAGGGCACGGGCCATTGTTCCTCGTACGCGCAAATTTGAAGGTCAAAGACTACCAGGTTCCACAAAGTCCTCCTGGGAGAGTCAGCCCTACCTTTCCAGTGCTTTAGAAAGTGCTTTTTGTAGGTTCGTGGAGGCAGCTGGGAAAGGGAACTTCACAGCAATGCTTCTGCAGTAGTAGAAAATTGTGGTCAGATGGTCTCCCTTGGAAGAAGCTAAGATAGCCAACTGATTGTAAGGCTGACCTAGAGGAGAAAGTTAAGATTCTAAAGTAACTAACGATGCGCAAAGTCCTGTTATCAGAATACAGCTGATCAATTTGTACACCTTTAAATTAGTAAGGCGGAGTATTTTATAACCAGAATGTCATGACTACACCGTTACAAATGGGCATAACATAAAAACCCCATACTTCAGCAACGGTACACGAAATGTTTCAGTTTAGAAGCCACACACTTACAATGGAGAGCACTACAGTTCCACTACGACTTCAGAAAGGGCTAGGCAGTAAGTATTTTTCAGCTTTGTGGGCCAGAGTCTCTATTACAACTCCGGACGCTGCCGCTGTGGTGGGAGAGCAGCCAGACAACAAGGAACAACAGTGTGCTCACTGCTGCCCCTGCCTGAGACTCTTCCCAGGGGCTCCCTTTAGAATCTAGAGGGATTTCAACGTGGCTTAACAAGAATGGCTTATATCACCAAACATCCACTGTCATTTCTCTACTTCAAGAATCACTGCTAACGCTGATTTCGGGGGCCATCAGAAGAAAAAAGCACTACCTTTTAGGTAATAAGAGATATTTTTTTCTAGGACAGAAATGGTAATATTAAAGAGAAATTATTCTACAAGTAATTAAGGAAGCCAGAGTTGTTGAAACAATTTTAGATGACAATGGGGATATTCTACTATACTGCTTGAATGACAACAGTTATGCTATTTTAAAAATTTCATTTCCAGTTACACAGAACGTATAGGTAAAAGGAAAAATATGACGATTAATACCCACACTCATCAAACTTGAAAGATGAGCCTCCGGTTCCTTCCCACACTGCTGTAAAGAAAGCAGCGTGGCCGCCACCCACGAGCCGCCCGGGAGGCCCACTCACCGTTAGAGGGGACCAGCTGAGCTGCGTGCCGATAGTAGGACTCCGCCTGGCTGGTCTGGTTTCTGTATCGAGCTGAGGGAAGAAGAAAATTTAGTTTAAAAACAAGCAAACAAATCAAGCAACAACTAGGGCAGTATTTCCAAAACAGCTATAGTTTTAAATTCTAAAGATAACGAACATGAAAATTAATCTAAGAGAATTTAAGAGAGAAACTACTTTAAAACAAATTAACTATAGGATTATGTGTGCGGTGTCCATCCGGCCTTCCCTGCTCGGGACCTCCAGCGCGGAACCGATGCAGAAGCTTACCTAGCCCCCACTTCCAGGTCCTCCAGGGTCATGCATCACCAGCTCCCACTATGGACTATGCTGGTGACCTGGGGCCGGCCAACAAGGGGTGAGTTATATGGCACTTAAAAACAAAACAAAACAAAAAACACTATACAATATGATCTGCAAAGTATGTATTTCTTCAATATCTTATAAAGTGATTTTGAAAAATGTCTCATACCTACTCCAATAACTGTGTGTGTGCAAAGAACACATTGAAAGCAGACAACCCCGATTCACTCTTCCTTGAGGCTCCCCGCAGAACTGGGTGCTTACTCAGATGTGACCCTTCCCTGAGCCAGTGATCTATGACATCACGAAATCTAAAAGCTTTGAACTTAAAGCAGTAATGTTCTCCATTCCTTGTACTTTGAGGACAGCAAAACATAATCCTATAGTTAATTTGTTTTACAACCCTTTTAGGTCACCTTAAAGGAATGAACAGGAAATAAGTTACATCACATTCCTAGACGAGATATACAAAATGGAAATACAAATTTAACTGTAAAAAGGAAACAAAAATGAGTTTCTAATACACTGTAGGAAGGAAAGAAGGCAATCTAGCTTCAGAAGGAATACTTTGTAAACCATGCAATTCCAAAACTACAGACTTAATGGAGAAAATATTACAGCCCCACAGTGGAAAGTTTAACTTTGATTACATTTTTGCTGTTTATTATTTGCCTACATCTGAATAAATCTGAATAAAATTTAAATCTTAATACGAAAGTTACTTCCTTCTAGACCCTTTGCCAATCCCAGACACTGAGAAGATCTACGTTCCTTAAACTGTATTTCACGGTTCCCCCTCACGACGCTCTGCACTGTGTGTGCATGCTCAGTTCACAGAAAGATCAAGGTCCCTTCTAGGGCTGCACCAAAGAAAAGGGTGACCGTCTTACAAACTCCTTCACCCCAAAGGCTCACCAATGTCTCCGAGGTGAACGAGGCAGTGCTGGCAGATGTAGGAACAGGAGCTGGACTGTGGCTTCACGATGGCGCTGGTATGCGTCTGTTTATGGCTGATAATTCCCAGCTGGGAAGACTTCACACGGCATGGTAAATCAACATTGAACACTGTACACAGTTCTTGTAATAACTAAAAGGAAACACAGCAAGATTTAGTATCAAGTCAGAGCTGGTAAGGCAGAAGTGCTCTAGAGCAAAGCTTATATACTGTAACCTATGTACCTAGTATCACACACCACTGAGACCCGAGCAAAGACTTTTTACAGTAATCTTTCACATGATAATTAGTAAAATTCATTACAAACCATGTCTCTTGAATTCTTGAGTATTAGAGCGATCTGGAATGCACATCGAAAAGGAGCAGCAGCACTGCTTAAAAAGACTGCAGCCAAACTCCCAAGGAGTCTGCATGTGCCGCCCCCACTTTCTCGGTTCCTATTCACTCCTCAGCCCGCCAGCACCTGACTGCCACACAAACCCGTCCCAGCACCACCCCACTGAAAGGCCAGCGGACATCCGTCGGGGCCCGTCCTCCTGGACCGCTCTGCTGCGCTTGCACCTCACCAAGCATTCCTTTTCAGCCCCTTCATCCAAACGCTTTTCCCTTCCTGCCTTGTTCACCAAGGGCTGCATTCTTGACCCCCACACAGGTCTTTGCATCCTGCTCGCATTCATTCAGACATTTACCTACAAATATTATTCATTCAAATATCTGATTATTGTACTAGCCACCATGGTAAGCAAGAGATACAGACATGAATTAAAATCTGCGTCCTTAAAGAGCTCACAGCAAAATGAGCAAGACAGGTATGTAAAGTGCAGAGTGGAGGGCAGGGAAGGGGAGAAAGGGAGAGGAGAGGCACTACACATGACAGCTTAAGCCAACAGAATATTCTACATTTATAACAAACCTCATCCCCTGGATTCTTTGATCCATTTGTCTGACTTTATCATTTTGATAAACTAGTAGACATATAATAAGCTCTATTTTTTTTTTCAGAAGAGGATATGAAAGCAACAGCAATAGCAAATGATTTGACTAAGTTTACAAAATTAGAAATACCGTGATTCTATCATGACTCTTTGTAATGTGCAGAAATCCACAATACAAAATATGATATTCCAAAGACCCAACTCAGAAGGATTTCAAATGTCCCACTTTTCCCCTAAGATAAAAACCACCTACCTCCACAATTGAATATAAATTCTATGTGCCTTTATCACCAAGCATAGAAATTACGTACATCTTTACTTATAACTGTACATTTGTTAATGGGCAAGAAATTTGCTGACAAAACTGGGTAAACAAGTTAACGCCTGGAATGGCTGGCTAGAGTCAGGAAACAGAAAAGGCAGGAAGTACGAAAAAAAAAAAAAAAAAAGACAACAATGGAAAAAAAACCCAAACCCAAACCAGATGACAGTGGAGGTGTAGAGAAGAAACATGGCAGGATAAAGAATCAAGTTCAGCAGGTACTGGAAGGACAGACCGGAAAAGCAGGCAAAGCTGACCATCCACCAAGAAGAAAAAAAGAACGTTCACAAAGGGTAAATGAAACCTGGCTGGAACGCCAGTGGACGCCGTACGATACAAGTTTTGCCTGCATGCAGAAGCTGCAGGTGGAGATATAAGAAGCATTCCTGCTGGCCCAAGGATTCTGGGGACGCTAGCTGGTTTAGAGGCAGAAAAAAACACAGTTAAATTAAAAAGAGAAACAGCTGTTTCCTAAGTTGAACAAAACTATATTTGGCAATTATTCTGGGATAACGCTATTATTATACTACCTTACTGCTCCTTAGCTGTTTATTCTACGCTAAGAATGAAGAACTAATTATTTTCTTAAAGACTGCTGTTTTTTGATGTTAACCTACAGCAGAATGTTAGTTACATCTTCATTTTGACTGGGCATCTGGTTCTGGCTTGAGGCACCATGCTTCAAAATGGTTAACAAAATCACAGCTAAGAAGTCAAAACCACCTTCACAAAAATATGACAAAGGATAATCACAGGTTTGGAGAGTCACAGGTCTCTCCTCAATCCACACCACTCAGATCTCCACCCTCTCCATGCTACTGAAGTCACATTTTATCAAATCCAAGGTACCATAAATAATAAGAACTATTACTTTATATAACACTGAGGAAAGAAACTGCTGCCAATTAAATGGTGATTTACCTACTTTTATAAACTTATCCCTATTTCAGAGATTTTTAAAAATTTTATTTCTTTACTTTTAGAGGGGGAAGGGAGGGAAAGAGGGAAACATTCATCTGTGGTTGCCCTTGAGCACCCCCTACTGGGGACCTGGCCCGCAACCTAGGCACGTGCCCCAACCGGGAATCGAACTGGCAACCCTTTGGTTAACAGGCCAGGACTCAATCCACTAAGCCACACCAGCCAGGGCCCTATTTCAGAGATAGTAAAACAGGGAAAATCTTTAGAAATGAAGAAATATGGTACTGTTCATTTCACCAATGACTTCCACATCGTCGAATCTAATTGGTCACTTTTAACCTTCCTGTTTCACTTTGTAGCAGGGCTGATCACACCCTCTCCTCACAGAAAGGCTCTGTTCTTGGTTGCCAAGGCACCACTCTCTCTGATGTTCTCCTACTGAAATGGTGGCTCTTTTTGTGCTGTCCGTCCCCACCTAGTCCGGGACTTTAAATACTAAACACCAATGTCTAAATCAGGGTTCTTTATTGCACTCATAAAATTTACTCTGGCCTATCACTGAGTTTATCCAATTACCTCTGTGACATCTCCACTTAGATGCCAGGTAGGTATCTCCTCAGATTTAACATGGACAGAACTGCTTTCTCAGAAGTGTTCTCCATCTAAGTAAATGGTACAACCAGTCAACTCGCTGTTCAATCTGGTAACCCAAGTCATCTCGGATTCTTCCGCACGTCCAATCCAATTCACCAGCAAGGACATCAATTTCCTTCCACTGCCACAGTGACATCCTAAGCAGCTTCCATTCCTGACGCCCGCTAGTTCCCTCTCCGCACATCATTCAGGGTAATCTTTAAAAACGCAAACCTTCTCACATCACTCTTTTGACTGCACTCCTGTGGCTTGCAACTGCACTTAAGATGGAAATTCGAGGTGTGAAAGGGGTAAAAAAGGTGAAGGGAGCTTAAGAGATACAGATTTTCAGTTATTAAATAAATCATGGAGATGTACAGCACAGGGAATGTAATCAATAATACTGTAGTAACTATACAGTGAGGGAAGGTCGCTAGACTTGAGGTGATCACTTCTTAAGCTGCTCAATCACTGTGCTTCGCACCTGAAATTAATACAATATTGTATGCCAAGTATCAGTTAGCAAAAAAAAATTAAATTTCAGCCCTGGCTGGTGTGGCTCAGTGGACTGAGTGCTGGCCTGCAAACCCAAAGGTCACAGGTTCAATTCCCAGTCAGGCGCACGCCTGGGCTGCAGGCCAGTGTTTCTCTCCCTCCCTTCCACTCTCTCTAAAAATATATAAATAAAATCTTCAAAAAAATTAAATTTCAAAACTCATGTTAGACTATAAAGTTGTTCGATGATCTGGACGTGGTCCACTTCTTCAATCTGGTGGCCAACCTGCACTGCACGTAATCAGGGAAAATAAATGGGATGTCACTGCTGGCAACGTTGTTAGATGTTTGTCATCCAACCACGACAACGTAAAGGTGCAGCTACAAAGTCCTATGAATGCTGACAGGTGCAAGAAAGTCTACTGACACCCATTCTACAACCGTACAACTGTTGTAACTGCTCAACTGTTGCCTAAGAAATGAAGGTGAAAAAATTAATGATTACAAAAATTTCAAAAATAAATTTCAAAATTAGATCACCCACCTATTTTTCCCTTATAAAACAGTATTTTGAGACATTTGAATTTTATAAAATGTTTTTGCAAATATCATGCTCCTTCCACAAAAATGATGGTTCTTATTTTACTTCCTTGAGGATTTTATTTGATTTATCAACATCCAATTAAATACTTGGCAATGCATCATTACATGCCGTGTCATAAAGGTTAAGAATCCTTTTCAGGAGAACAGACCAATGGTACGACGGCCTTCATACAACGTGCTGCGGAAGGTGGATGCCTCCCCGCTCCCTCCACTGAGTCCAGCTGCCCCGAGTCCCGGCCGCTCCCCTACTTCGCTTACGCTCACAGTTCTAGTTTCTAATGAGTGGGGGAAAGAGAATTTGATCGGAAACGAGACTGGAGTTTTAAAACTGGACTACGTTTCAAAAACCTAAAAGTAACCAGAATGTACAGAATCTGTCCAGGGTGTTAGGACAGGAACCTGGACTTCAGAAAAGCAGAGCTGAGAGTGGTGATGGGGCAGCGGGGACGGGGGGCAGACACCACCTTCATCAATATCCCACCGAGCTGAGGTTACTCCAAATACAGGGTCGAGCCGCACACATAGTAACGCAGCACTCTGAGAACGGCCAACAGTGCTTTCAGAGCAACATCCTCAAACCTTTACCTTGTCATTTTTAGATGAACATTTACATACAGATATTTTATTAATGAAATTATAAATGCTATTACAAATGGATAAAATCAAGTTTTTAAAGGGTTCTGCTTACAGTAAAGAAAATTCATTGTTCACAAAGAAGATTTATTTATTCTTTTGCGTTCCCTGGATTTAGAAGTTATATTAGAATGTAACTAAGGATGAGGAAAGTCTCTAAGGAAAATGAGTAATAACTTAGTGAAAGTGAAGGAAAGCTACTCCATTTTTCAGGTAGTTTAATAGCATTTGAAGCTCTAAATCCTACTGCATACATAAAACTGTGAAAACTCCCTCGATAACACCAACTCTGACAAGTCCTTACCTGGCACCACACAGCAGCTACTTTCACAATGACTACACCTGCTAGAAATTCACATCTGCTCCGATACCACTTGTAACTGACCACTTCCACTGATTCACTAAGGCACTGCTTTCATCGCCCTTTTTCTGTTTACACAATTATACCTCCAACCACTAAGCTGAAACATCAGCCTGTTTAAGAGCAGAGTCTTTGTTTAAAGGTCTTATGGTAAACAATTTGGAACATTTTTATTCGTTTGTTTTATTCGTTTGATTCGTTTTATTCACAGGTGACCCACTCCTGGATGGCCCCCACAGTGGTTACAAAAAGTGTGGATATGATCAACAAGATGTGTTCAAAGAGAACATTCACCGCTAATTCTAGGAAAAGTGGTATGCAATGTAGAACTCACCTGAGTGTAGAAGCCACTAGCTGCCTCTAGGAACAGAGAAAGATTGGCTTGAACTTCACTCCGATTCGGGTTTGCTCGATTCTTTGCCTGGCCTTGTAGTGTTGTGATCTGATTCTTAAAGGCATGATTCCAGCTGAAAACAAAATGTAATTCTATTTGTATAGCAGTGACTCACTGGGCAGACACTGGTCCCCCTGAGAACAAGAAAGAACTGTTTGTTATAATTATAACACACTAGATAGTAAACCTGCATTCAAGTTATTCACTTATTTAAATAACTTTAGGCTCCCCTTTGAACAAGACTAGACAGGCAGCAGAATCCAACTGATCTTAGTGAACACTTACCAAATATCTGAATAACCAGACTGTGGCTTCGGCTACTAATCTTTCAGAGCTACTAAAGTTAGAGCCTATTTGAAAATCCCAGTACAACATCAGAACTACAGTGGTGAGGCCAAAGTAAAAATAAGCTATTAACAAATCTGCAAACATTGTGCCAAAATATAATTGAGTATATACCCTAACAAGTGACGTGTATGGAGGGGAAAAGTTTTGTATTAAGCTATATCCCTTATTTCCCTAAAAATCTATTTTCCATAGTTCTATTTCTGTGTAAATAGTTCATTTCTCTTTTTCTTTAGAGCTTAAAAGTAAGTTCATTTTCTGACATTTCAATTTTGACTATTTAAAATAAGAAACAGCACTATGTGAAAACCAAAATCTTGTCATAAAATGCCTTTCACTAATCAAGTTGTTTAGAGAATGATTTTAAATTCAGGTATGGTAAGAACAGCCACCTCCTAACTGGAAATCACAGGGGGAAACGGAACTAGGGTGAAGGGAGGGTATTGCTGCTTGATTCAAGGAAGCGAACACAGATAAAGGGTTTACAACCTACCTGGAAAATAGCTAATTCTTTATCAAAGTCAACTTCTAAGGCTCTAGAGCACTTGGGTTTTTAACCAGTTATGAGGTCAATCACTGTCTCAGAATTTCTGGTGACATCTTATCCTTCATCTAAAATCACAGATGTGGATTTTGGGTGGGTTGTGAGTAAGCACTGTTACTAGATCTAATAATACAAAGTAATCCAAGAAAAGTGTGGAAGACAGGGAAAATGAATCTTCACTACAACTTGGGGTAATAGGCAGCACTAAACAGTATGTTCTTAACTGATGTTTAATTTTTCATCAGGTTAATGTCTTTGTTTCATGGTTTCAATTTAAAGGCAAGACCTTCCACAAAAGACATTTATTTACTCACTTGGGAATCGGGTCATCTCCCATTTTACCCCTCCCAGAATGATTGGAATAGCCTAAATATACAAAATCTTTCTTTAGTCTTATTAGGGGGAAAAAAAGACACACCTATTTATTTTATGATATGCCCTTAAGACAATAGTCAACTCTGACCATTTCTCTTGCCACCTAACACTGCATGTAGAAATAATACCAATGATCAAATCTTTGGTTCAAAAAAATCCCCCACAAGTATTATAATTTATTTATTTTTTTATTTTATTTTCACTGAAGACGCTTACTCTGAGAGAGGTTGAAAAGAAACAACCAAATCGTTTTTTTTCTGTCCTAAAGTCTTGTTGAGATTCTTGATCTTAACAGGGACATCCCACATGATGGTACTTACAGGTCCTGTTCTACTTTCTTGTCTAAAGCATATTCCAAGTCAGTAACTAGCATTTTCTGGTACAGGTCCTGCAGAGCCTGCCTGGATGTCCAGACCTCAGCTGGGCCCAGCTTGGAATCTGAGGAACAGAACAAACACAGAAGAGCGGATACAGTATTGAGTCCACCACAGCACAGCAAGGATTCCTTCCCTCGCCGTTCCCCAAAGCCAAACCTGCTGTAAGGACACACCGTAAACTGCTGGAGAAGTTTTATATTACTGCATTTCAAGTGACTTTCACACCTTTTGGGTAAGACTAAATCTGTGTGCTGCCGTATTTGTCTTTTAGCTTTAAAATAATACCATAAAATAAAAAAGGCTAAAACAACGGTTTACCCTTTCCTTTAGGTGTGGATTTCGAAGCACTCGTATCACAGGAAGCCACACGCCTCCCACCGGTCAGTCACCCTGGGAAATGATGGACAGCCAGCTCGGTCCGCTGGCTCTCACAACTACACCTCTCTGACCAGAGCAGCATTTTCTCGTTTTATTTGGAATCATTCTCCCAGTCGTCCTCACAGAATCCTTGTGTGGGCTCCTAATCCAGCAGCCGTCTGGCTTTCTGCTGTTACTCCTACTCCGTATATGTTTGTCGATCACATAAGGCCAGGACAGTGAGCATTATTTTAACGACTGGTGGACTGCCTGCCAAGACACTTTTGTGAGCAGTCCATACTCGGTATTTAATGTAAATGAGGGCTGGGAGCAGACAGTGATTAAACTGCTCCAGAGGCCAGATGAGAGACTGGGTGCGAGATGAAATCAGAAAGTCAGGCAATCACCACACATAATACGGAACTGAGGCCGCGCTGCCTGCCAGAGTCCTATAAGGCACATTAGCCTTTCCGATAAGTAGGCTTATGAGTGCAATAACTGACAGTGAGCTACCTCAATAGAAGACCTTAATAACAGACTTTTCAATACGTATTTCCAACTGCTTGGTTAGGCTGTCTGGTTGCATTTAGCATTTTGCTGCTGTGCAATGACATAATTTTCACTCTTCTTTAGGTCTGCTGTATCTATTGCCACCATAATCCTATTCTGCAAAAAGAATCTTCTGGATGAGTTAATCATCACAAAAACTTAATCCTTTGCTGGCTACTAAAAAAGTGGGGGGAGGGGTTAATTATCAGCTTAATAATTAGGGGTCCTTTATTAAGTTTCTGATGATTAAATAAATTTTATACATTTATTCGACTGCTTCAATTCTTGATGGTAGGGAAAGGATGGTAAGGGATCATTAAATCTGATCTATCAGAAAGACTATTATTTAAATGAGTACACTTACTATCTTAGTTAATGTTTCTAGGCATTCAAACATCCCCTATGAAAGTCAAACCCTTAGCATACTCACTGAAGGTGTTTAATACTTAAGATTATGCTCATAATGCCAATACAAGTGCACAATAACAGTGGCTCAGAGCTGAAACTGACATCCCCAGTCTGGAAAATGACAACAATTATGTTAATAATGAGAAGAACTGAGATGCTATACTAAGTAAGCCTATAACAACTGTTTTTGAGCTTGTGGAGGGAGGGGCTTTTTTCCTTGAACAAGATGACAATGAAATTACCTAACTTCCTACAGAACATTAGCCTACAAGTGTAGAGGTTGAGAACAAAACATCAACAGTTCATTTCCTCTTGACTGTAAATTTTTGCGGATATGCTGATTATCACAACAGTGTGACGCTTCTTGGTGAATTTCACTGCACAACTAAATTCCTCAAAATCAGAATGAGAGCCATTATCACATATCACTTTTACATTTTCAGACAGCACATGTGATTATAGAAAGCATACTCATCACTAGAGTTATTGACACATATTTCCTAACTGGGGGGTTAAAATCATCTGCTCCATTCAGTGACTAAATCCAGTTATTCTTTCAAAAACACCTTGGCTGTGTCCAAAACAAGAAAGATAAGGGAACCCCCAAAAAGAAAGAATGTGGTAAGGCTGCTCAATCTACTTCAAAAATTTTCAGTTTTCCTGCAAATATTTTTTTCTGAAGGTTTACTTATTATTCAAATTTGGGTAATTATAAATAAGAAGATATAAACCTAACACCAAAGGATATTTGTGAATTTTTTCTGTATGCCTGTAATAATTGATACATAGTTCATAAAAATTAAATGATTATATGCATTAAATTAGGCAATATTCAATCCCAGGTAGTATAACTTATATAAAATTCCTGACAGGTCATCTAAGTAAGACTAAAAAACATAGAACAATAAATATTTAAAGCAAATTATAAGAGGAAATAGTAAGTTATTATCCTTTTGGCAACTAGTATGGTACCACAAGTCATACAGCAAAGATGCCCTTCTCTTAACTTCATGGCACAAAGTTAGCTGTGAAAAACAACGGAGCAGCCAGTACCTGTCATGTCAGCCTTCAGGACTTCTGCCTGCCTGAAACGGGAAGAAGGAGAAGAGGAGTCAGTCAGGTGAGCCCAGCATGAATGATGCCCCGTGAGTGCATCCGGTGCGGCGGGGCTGCACAGTGGCCCCATCTGTGGCAGGACAGACAGTGTTCCCTCTCTCTCACGCAGGGTGGCTGCAGGTCCTGGCAGACTGACGCATGACTTAGGCGTTTACAGGTCATCATAAACTCTTCCACTAAGTGAAGTTAACTTTCTTGCTGTTTGCCTCCAAATCTGATATATTTAAGATAACATTAAATGGCAGTCATAAATAAAAACTTCCCCTCATTGCAGCCAAGAAACCCTATGTTTCTCAATTCACCAGCCACTCTATTCCAAACCTCCATCCTCCTCAAGCTGCCGGGTTCTGCCCCGTTTCTCAGCCTCGACCCCTTTCGGCAGAGGACGCCCCTGTGCGGCAGGAAGAACAGCGCCCGTTCTGAGCCCTCCGCTCACAGAGCCCTCCTCTCCCTTCCCGTCAGAAGGCCGCTGGGCTGGGCTTCTGGTCTGCTGGTGCCACTCCAGTGTGCTCCTCCCGGCCTTGCCTGAGGCTGCCCCCAGCCCTCTATCAAAAACTGTGAAACTTCTCCCTACTGAAGACTTCCTTCTCCTAAGAACTGAAGCATGTACAATTAGTCTCTCACGGATTTTAGAACTTTCTCCCCATATTCTTCTCTAAGCTACTGCTTTTTCTCTCTCTCCCAAATTCTTCGAGAATGGCCTGGATTCAAGAGGCCCAAACTGAGCCCATGACCTACCCCCACCCCGCCCCTGGTTCTCTGCCTAGCGGGTTTTGCCCAGCAGACGGAGCACAGCGTTCCAGCTGTGAGAGACAGAAGCGGGAAGTCGCCCATGACAACAGTCTCCCAGTCTCTGGTAATCTATCAACTCCAGACAGTCTGACCCACTGACTGCAGCCGCGCTGGTCTCCCGCTCCCCTGCTGCCCAACCACTCTGGTCGGGTACAGCCGCCCCTGCCTGTGCTGCAAAGGCAGTCAACTGTGTCCTCCCCTGCACTCAGCTCTCCCCACAGCTGGGGGGGGGGGGGTCCTTCCACAAATGCACAGCTATGCACATCTGATGTTACCAATCACCCATTTACACACTTTAAAGACTTCCCACTGCTTTTAGGTTAAACAACAAAACTCGGCCCGGACAGGTGTGGCTCAGTGAAGCCAAAGGTTAGACCTGAGTCACAGCACAGGCCTGGGCTATGGGCCAGGTGGCTGGCTGGGGGCATGCGAGAGAGGCAACTGACTGACAGATGTGTCTCTCCGTCTCTTTCTCCCTCCCTTCTCCTCTCTCTAAAAATAAATAAATAGAATCTTTAAAAAAATTCTTCACTGAAGTGTCCTACAACTTTCTCTACACTCCAATGAGAGTCTCCGCCCTCTACCTCTGCCATTTTTCCCCCTTCCTGCCCTCCTCTCCGCGCTCCGGCCCCTGGCCTGGCGTTTCTCCCGCGTGCTCTGCTCCGCTCCCCTCCCCTCCCCTCCCGCTCCCAGGGCCTTCGGGAGGGAGGAGTCCCTCTGACCGGGCACCCCCTCCTTTGTCTGGTTTATCACTACTCATTCTTGGCCTTGGTCAGAGCCGGAACTTCCTCAGAAAGCCTTACTTGAGCCCTACAGAGATGACACTCCAGCTTCAGGCTCTCAAAGCTCCAGTATTCGTTTCTTCATACCACATATCAGATTTTAAGAATGCTCACAATCACAACCCCTATGCCTGCTAAGCACAGCTGCCTAGCACACAGTGGGCAATCAATATTTAAGTGAAGAAAGGAAAGAAATTAAGTATATAAACTCAAGAGATTTCCATTTTGTAAAACAAAATTTGACATAAAAGAGAATATTTAGAGATTCTAAAATTTTTATTGTAAATGTTGTTTTACATAATTACTAAGTACTTAATATCAGTTGTGAATTTTAGTTTCATCAAAAAGTAAATAACATAAACCTTTTCATTTTCTTAGCCTTTAAAAAGATAGATTTTTTTAAAGATTTTATTTATTTATTTTTAGAGAGGGAAGGGAGGGAGAAAGAGAGAGAGAGAGAAACATCAATGTGCGGTTGCTGGGGGGCTGGGGGCCGTGGCCTGCAACCCAGGCATGTGCCCTGACTGGGAATCAAACCTGCGACACTTTGGTTCACAGCCCGAGCTCAATCCACTGAGCTACGCCAGCCAGGGCAAAAAGATATTTTTTAAAAATTAAGTGTCGCAGGTTCGATTCCCAGTCAGGGTACAGGCCTGGGTTGCAGGCCATGACCCCCAGCAACCGCACATTGATGTTTCTCTTTCTCCCTCCCTTCCCTCTCTAAAACTAAATAAATAAAATCTTTAAAAAAAATTAAGTTTTTAAACAATGGATCACAATAGAGTGCTGCAGAGTTAACCACAAACCACACGGGGACAATCAGTATGAGAGAATACTGAATAAACGGCTGCACACTCAGGTCTAAAATATAACATCACATTGAATTCCATTATCCACACAGCCCAGCCTCACTGTTTGCTTTGAGTGTTAAACTTCTGCCATTAATAAGTTTTTTCACAAGGTCGTTGGCTCATGCCCTAACACGTAAGGTCAGACAACTTAAAAGAATACCCCATACCCTCGCCTACTGATGTCACAACGGCCTCCCCCCCCCCGCCCCCCCGGCTCAAGTCCTACAGGAGTGCTAATTTATGAGCTTTATACCAAAAAAGCCAGTGCTAACCGTGCATCTTTACTGGGTTCAATAACCTTTCATTTTGTCCCTGAAGAGGATGAAGTGGTTTACTATGTTTCCATATTTTAGCCAAAAGCTCATACATATACAAGATATTTTATTCTTAGGGTCATGTGCCTAAAGGTTGTTTCCTCATTCCAAATAAGATTTGCTTGTAAAGATGAACAGTATCATTTCAGTATGCTCACAACTTCCAGCCAAAGGAAGGTTATACTGAGTGCATATAACAAGAATTATTTACAAATAATCTGCTGCTCTTATAGGCTGTCAGTAAAAGGAGAACTGTAATCTAACAGAGTCTGGGCCAGGCTTCCATGGACAAATAGAAATCAAAATGTTACACTATATTCTTATATATTAAATCTGTCCAAGAAAAACTGTGAAAGTAAAAATTCAAGCACTAATTAAAGTATAAAAATGCTATAACACTCTATGACATAAATAAAGCATTCTGAAATTCCAGGAGTTCTGATTCCTCAGTTGACCAAGGGTAAAGGTGCCCATTTCTGTGCAGAGTTCCTTACTAGGTTCTGAAAGAGACACATGTTAACGACTAAAACAATCTTGCTAAATTGAAATGATAAAAAAAGAAAGCTAAACAGAAAATATAACAACCACCCTGAGAGACAGCTACTATTAATTCCCATTCTATAAACAAGGAAATTGAAGCTCTGAAATGTAAAATAATTTGTCCATAGTCACAAAGCAATTAGGTACAATTAAGTACAAATCTAGTTCCTTTTGACACCAAAGTCCAAGTTACCATATTTGCTGTGTATAATGCGCTCCCATGCATAATGTACACCCATTTTTAGAATTACCTGTGTATAATGCACATCCTTATTTTTCCCTCAAAAATTGGGCAAAAGTGCACGTTATACATGGCAAAATACAGTGCTTCTATTTCTTCCAAATTAAGAGTAAAAAAAATTCTATAACATAAAAAGCTGACACAGTCTTACCTGGGTTCAGTTTTGTGCCATCAACTAAATACTAATATTTAAGTCAACTATCCTAGATGAAATCATCTGTTCATATTAGGAAATAAATATCTGAGTTTTTATCAGGAAGACTACAAGTAAAATTCATATTCCAGTGCAATGGTCAGCTTTGGGTGAAATTCCCCCCTTCACCCTGAATCTGTGTTTTGCAAATAAATTTTCCTGGAACACAGCTGTGCCCGTTCATTCACGTACTGTCCACGGCTGCTCTCCGCTACAAGGGCAGAACTGAGCAGTTAAACGGAGACCACATGGCCCACCACGCCTGAAACATTTACTATCTCGCCCTTTGCAGAAAATCTTTGCCTGTCCTGCTCTAGGGAGTACTTGACTTAAAAAACAAAAAAGAAAGAGAGAGAAGTAAGATATCTGTAGGTTCCCCCAAAGCACAGCTTTCCCATATGAAGAACCAACCATCAGTAATAGTTCCCTCAGAGTAAGTCAGTCTATTCTCACTAGTTAACACCGCAGGCCTCTCACAGAGAGAACTGTTCAGGAACAGCCGCCCGTGAGTGGAGGGTCAGCACTTCCAGGCCATGTCATGTTTTTGATGAATTTAACCTTCAAACTGTTTAAAGCATCATTAGGTATACATACTATTAGCCACTAATTCCTCCTTTTCCCCTGCATACCGGCCCACTTGGACCGGTGAGAAAGTGGGGTAAAGTAAGAACTGTTATGTCATTAGAAGGGGAAAGAAAGCCTACCCCACACCTACACTATTATGCTTTATTTTTTTTACAGTGTGTAATACACAGGAAATCAAAGCAAGAGAGATGTGATCTACCAACTTTCATAAAGATCAGCACAAAATTGGTTATTTGATTGTATTTTATTTTATAAGGAAAAAATACTACAATTGACCTACTGGTTTTGTTAACAGTCAATTTGTTTTTATAGTGTATACAGTTTATATGGTTTTTACAATTCAGAGCCTACAGCCAATGCTTATTATATAAAAAGGTAAGAGTTTTTAAATGGTGTTTCTTGGTAGAAGCCGTGGCAACATGAGTTCCTTTATATTCTTACTTTAAGCTAAAGGAATCAATAGAGAATGAATGAACCAAGAATAAAAATAGCACTGCTGAATAGTTACAAAAATACAAAGCTTCCAAAATACTAAATATATTGTCTCAATTCGTAACAATAAGAGAAACTAAACATTTATATCAAGCCATAAAGAGAAGTTATTAAAAGCTGAATAAAATCTGAAACATTCCGTAATAATCAAATATGCTGAAAGCTAACAATATACAACA